GTGTGCATTACCAGGTTTCTGAATGACAGCAATCTAGCCAGCCATAGACTTAAGGCTATGGTCAAGGGTGTTAAGATGCCACCCATATCCTCCATGGTCAGACTGCACCTGTTGCTGGTCAGTTGTTTCTTTCAGCTCTTTTGGCCATACCTTGACAGGCCCTAGGAAAGGGTGTAGACCCTTCCCTTAGCATCTGCTTGGCCATTACTATGGTCTTGGTATTCTTTTGGTGTGTTGTCTTCTACTCCTTTTTATGGTGTATGTTCATACAGTATCCCAATACGACTATATTAATCATTTTATTTTTTCATTTTTAACATTATTTCCATATATCTATTTAGACTGTCTAAATTGATTACTTCTGCTTTGTATTTGCCCTCCCTACATCTTTGGATTTCTTCATTATTTATCAATTTTCTATATTGTATTTAATAGTTAAAACATGCTTAGGAATATTTTTCCTTTTTAAAATGAAATTTCAATTGTGGTCTTAGTAAAGATGCAATCATCTGCTGGGTTACCTAAAACCTGATACAAGTTTTAGCCTATTTTAATGGTGGGAGAGAAGAAGTCTAAGATTCTTGGGAAAAGTCATATATGTGATATGAAAACATATAAAACATATACACACATATGTATGTATATATAAGCATCTTTAGTAAAGAGAGTCAGTCCAGTATATACTCAAGTCAGGTAAAACTAATGGCAATGCTTGGTTAAGACTTTTCAAGGGAACAGTTTGTACTAATAGACTATGATGATTCTCCTTGAACAAAAAATGCCAAGATTCTTATGCAAGTGTCTCTTTCAAAACCATTAGTTGCAGATTTGTACTGGGGGAGGAGAATAAACAACACCCACATTTCCCCTGCTTGAATAATCTTTATTTTGAAACCCTGCTTCCTTGATCTTTGTGAAATATGTATCTTGACATACTGTGGGAAAGCTCATTTGTATCCTTGATAAGGCAAAGACAAATTGTTTGAGCATTACCACAGGCCAAAAATTTCCACCCTAAGATAATAAAAGATGTCAGATACACTCTCTTCCCATCCTAGAGTATTACTAATATATTTCCTGCAGGTTCTCACTGATAGGTCACTGAAAAACCCCTCTTTCTTCTGCCGTCTGGTTGCTGAGTGAGTAAAGCTGTTTGTAGGCTGAAGGCCATTGGAGGGCTGAAGATTTCTCTCCTTTACAAAACAGCTAGTGGTATAATGTCTCTAACTGTTTGACATCATCTTTGATAGGGAACATGGTCATGTAAATCCTTTGACTACTTTTTCTCTTAGTTCTTGTAATTTACGTGTCATGGCAGTCAAGAGGATCAAATAACCCTCTAGTCTAAAAAAGAGAAGCAAGCCAAATTATGACAGATCCTCAAGCAATGTGTTATTTGCTTGTAAAATGACTGATCTTTTTGTCTTGTAGTAAGATTATGACTTGCTTTCATATTCTTTAATATATTTGAGAATATTTTTCTGTTTGTATATATGAAATCCTTCACTTGTATATTTTAATATGTTTGATTTTATTGAAAATAATCTTCAAAACTATAAAAGTGACCCCTAGGATATTTTCTCTGATTGGGTAGTATAAGAAAAGTGAAGTCAGTCATAAGAAATTAAACCTAATGTAATAATATACTTCTTCACTATATAATATACTTCCTCATTATAGTGTGATTATCAATATGTAAATATTTATATTTTTAGTATGGTAGATTCTAATTCTTATATGATTATTTATTAAATGAAATTAAGAAAAGAACATTTGTAAGGGTACTCAAGAAGGAATGTGAACTCTAATCAAGGTTTAAGGATATAAGGAGTTTAAAAGCAAAACTGAAGAAACAAAATAGCAGCAGACTCACAGAAACCAAGAAGGGACTAGTAGTTACCAAAGAGGAGGGGTTGGGAAGGGTGGGTGGGTGGGGAGGGAGAAGGGGATTGAGGGGCACTTTAATTTGCAATCACAATATAGGTAGGTCACGGGGAACGGAGAAGACAATTAATGACTCCATAACATCTTACTAGGCTGATAGACAATGACCACAATAGAGGGGGTGAGGACTTGATAATATGGGTGGATGTTGAAACCACCATGTGGTTTAGGTGAAACCATCATAAGATTGTATATCAATGATACTTTTATGAAAAAAAGAATATAAAGAGTTTAATAACAGTGGATATAATGCATTGGAAATTTGTAAACCATCTACAAATACAAAATACTGGTACTGGTGCTATTATCTCTGAAAAAGAAACTTAGATTTATTTCTAGATGTATGAATAGCATCAAAACTGAAAGAAGGGTGAAACCTTATGGATTGTGAGAACACATATGACTCAACATGGGAGGTTTAAAAGTTATTTTGCACAAGAAAACCTAATATGTTCTTGAGTATTTTTCCTCTGAAATCTTTGGTATTAAGTTTTTAATTCTTCAGCTTGTGAGAGGTGTGCTAGATTTTGTAATTTTCTTCATATTTCCTACTTCCTTCTCTATTATCCAAAAATTCATCATAGCTGCTTTAGTTCAGAGAACCTACCAAAACAAAATAAACATATGCTTGGTTAAATTTTCAAGTGATCTGTCAGTCACTATTGACCTTTATGATATAAGTGACCTTCATTCACTACATCTGTTTCTGACCTTAACTAAGTTTGGCAGCCCATATAAAGCGCTGTTTTTAAGGACTTGGGTCTTGAGTTTTATTCATCTGGGTGAATTGTGTTAAACGCTCAATGTCGATGAATTAAAATATTTTGAATAATAATAGCAAAAATGCCTTTTTAAGTAATTTATTAAAAGCAAAAAATAATATCAATAAAATACAGATATTTATTTCTAAATGTTAAGAAAGGGAGCCTATGATTGTCCATTTTTTAAAACTGAATTACAGAAAATAAGTGAGAGCTTTAAAAAATGTTATGCCATTGTTACATTTAATGAATCATCCATTCCAGTTTTCTGGAAATGCAGGGGATAGAGGAACAAGTTAAATGACACCACAAGGAAACAAGAATTCAGAGTGTAGGACATCCTACAAGACAACTGGTCTGGTTACTTAAAAAAATTCATTAACATAAAAGATGAAACTATTCTAAAATAAATCAATGTAACACCCAATACAATTATGCAACTTGATTAAGAAAGAAATTTTCTAAGACATTCCTTATAATAAGTGGTTAAAACAGTGCATTTGTAAAAGGAACTCAAGAGTGAATATGAATTCTTATTAAAGTTGGAGAAAATTAGAGAATTTGGAGGGATAATGAAAGAATAATTAATGAGATTTAAAAGGGACTGGATTTAATAATACAGAATTATCACTTATTATGTAATGTGTGCTAGTAGCATTATGATTATGTGGGATAATGTTCTTATACTCAGGAAATCCCTGCTGAAATATTCAGAGGTGAAGTGTCACAATGTATTCAGGCTTTTTTCAAATAAGTCAGCAAGAAAAGGGGTATGTGTGTGTAGAACAAAATATAGGTAGAACAAATATGGCAAGACAAAAAATTTTTAATTTGAATGGAGGGTATAATAATGTTTGTTATAGTTCTTCTAACATTTCTATATATTGGAACTATTTTATAATACAAATATTTAATTAATAGACATTACTTTTTAGAGCAGTTTAGGTTTTACAGAAAATTGAGCAGATAATACAGAGTTGCCATATACTCATTTTACCCACTCACAGTTTCCCCTAGTATTAGCATCTTGCCTTAGTGTGTTCCTTTTGTTATAATTGGTGGAAAATACTGATCCATTATTAATAACTAAAGTCTGTATTTTACATTAGGGTTGAATCTTCGTGTTGTACAGTCCAATGGGTTCGACAAATCCATGTCATGTATCCATCATTACAGTATCATAAAGTGTTTCAATTACTAAATCCCCTGGTTTATCTCATGTTCCCCTCCCCCTTCTCCCTGGCATTAGTCTTTTTAATGTGTTTATACTTTTGCCTTTCCAAAATGACATGTAGTTGGAATAACAGAGTATAGCCTTTTCAGACCAGTTTCTCTCACCAAGCAATATCCACTTACATTTCCTCCATGTCTTTTTTGACTTGATAACTCACTCCTTTTTATCAAACTGCTTTTAAACACAAAAAGAAATTTAGAAAACTTAACAAACTGCAACATGTATACCTTGTTTGTTACCAGATCTAACAAATTACCTCTAAAAAGTCATTTAAAAAACAACTGGAAAAATTTCAGTATTTACTGAGTATTTGATACTGTGAAATTATTAACGTTGTAGATGTGATAATTGAATTGAAGATATGTTAAAAAGAAAGTTCTTAACTGTTAAAAAGGAAAATAAAAATAACAACACATTCACAAGAAGAAATTAATCCAGCTACTTTTGGAGACTTTCATGTGACTCAAACGCAGAAAATTTCAGGGAAATGTGAAGTGCGAGCAGTGCAAAAGAGATAAATGAGTAGGGAAACTATTTGTGTCCATGAGAATGTCCTCATTGAATTCTGTGGTTTTCCCGGGTGTATACTTTTTGGTTGGTCCTGAGAGTGAGGATGGTCACCTAACTACAACGGAGATGCACCTTGCTGAAGCTCTGAATAAAAACTGGGCAATTTTTTTTTTCATTTTTTTGCCTAGGCACAAGCTTTCTTTCATCCTAGGACTAAGTTACTCCCTTCCAGTTTCTGAAGTTGATTTCTCCCAGTTTTAAAAGAGTGGCTTGGATCCATGAGAAAACTGGAATAGAAATTTGCCTGTGCTTTCCATGTCGTTATGGATGCAATGAAAAAGCCTTTCCAAACGCAGAGAAGACTTCTACACCTTGAGAGACACTACGTGGAAGTACTCCATTTAGATGGCCATCGATCTGAAAGAAAGGATTGGGATTTTCTTAATGTTTTGTATAAAATAAATATTCGACAAGGACGCGGGGTGGCGCTGCAGCATTAGAAGTAGGAGAAAGAAGGCTACCAGCCGACCCTCCTTGCACCAGAAGCTCAGCAAAAAAAGCAAGCAGAAGAGGAGGCTTTCTAAGGCAGTCGCTCGGGAAATCGGGGCTCTGGGCGACCCCATTTATCCCAGTGGCTGCGAGATACTGGGAGAAAAAATCAGCGACCAAGTGAGCCAGAGGTGGGTCGGGTTTGCTGGGAGACCGGACCGATGGACGCCGGAGAGGAAAAGCAATGCTTTCAGAAACAAAGGCAAGTCTTGATATTCTTTGTTTTGCTGGGCATAGCTCAGGCTGGTTCCGAACCGAGGCACTATTCAGTGGCCGAGGAAACGGAGGGTGGCTCCTTTGTGGCCAATTTGTTAAAAGACCTGGGCCTGGAGTTAGGCGAGCTAGCTGCGCGAGGGCCTCGGGTCGTTTCCAAAGGGAAAAAAATGAGTTTGCAATTCGATAGGCACACCGGGGATTTGTTGTTAAATGAGAAAGTGGACCGGGAGGAGTTATGCGGCGCTACCGAGCCCTGTGTACTACCTTTCCAGGTATTGCTAGAAAATCCCTTGCAGTTTTTTCAGGCTGACCTATGGATTATGGACATCAATGATCATTCCCCAGTTTTCCTAGACAAAGAAATAATTTTGAAAATTTCAGAAAGTATCAACCCCGGAACCACTTTCCTAATAGAACGTGCCCAGGACTTAGATGTAGGAAGCAACAGTCTCCGAAGTTACACGGTCAGCCCCACGTCCCACTTCCACCTTAAATTACAAAACAGCCCAGATGGCATACTACCGCAGCTGGTGCTGGACAAAGCGCTGGATCGAGAGGAACAGTCTGAGATCAGATTAACCCTCACAGCACTGGACGGCGGCACTCCACCCAGGTCTGGCACTGCCCTGGTCCGCATTGAAGTCTTGGACATCAATGATAACACTCCCGAGTTTGAAAAGATGCTCTATGAGGTGCAAATTCGGGAAAACAGCCCCATTGGATCCCAGATTGTCATTGTTTCTGCTAGAGATTTAGACATTGGAGCTTATGGAGAAATATCTTACGTATTTTCCCAAGCCTCTGAAGATATTCGAAGAACTTTTCGAATAAATGAAAAATCGGGAGAACTCCTTTTGACACACGAACTGGATTTCGAATCCATTCAGACTTACACATTAAATATTCAAGCGATAGATGGAGGAGGGCTTTCTGGAAGTTGCGTGGTGTTTGTCCAAGTGATGGATTTGAATGACAACCCTCCAGAACTGACAGTATCAACACTTATCAGTGAGATTCCAGAAAATTTGCAGGAAACCATAATTGCTGTATTCAGCGTCTCTGATCCGGACTCAGGAGACAATGGAAGGATGGTTTGCTCCATTCAAGACGATCTCCCTTTCATCCTTAAGCCTTCTGTTGAGAATTTTTACACTCTGGTGACAACCACAGCCCTGGACAGAGAGCACAGATCCGAGTACAACATCACCATCACCGTCACCGACCTGGGGACACCCACGCTGAAGAGCGAGCACAGCATCTCCGTGCAGGTGGCCGACGTCAACGACAACGCCCCGGCCTTCAGCCAAAGCGCCTACACCCTGTGGGTCCGCGAGAACAACGGCCCCGCCCTGCACATCGGCAGCGTGAGCGCCACCGACCCGGACTCGGGCGCCAACGCGCGGGTCACCTACTCGCTGCTGCCGCCCGGCGACGCGCGCCTGCCGCTGGCCTCGCTGGTGTCCATCAACGCGGACACCGGGCAGCTGTTCGCGCTGAGGCCCCTGGATTTCGAGGCGCTGCGCGCCTTCGAGTTCGGCGTGGGCGCGGCCGACGGCGGCTCGCCGGCGCTGAGCAGCCGGGCGCTGGTGCGCGTGCAGGTGCTGGACGCCAACGACAACGCGCCCGTCGTGCTGTACCCGCCGCAGAACGGCTCTGCGCCCTGCACCGAGCTGGTGCCGCGCGCGGCCGACGCGGGCTACCTGGTGACCAAGGTGGTGGCGGTGGACGGCGACTCGGGCCAGAACGCCTGGCTGTCGTACCAGCTGCTCAGGGCCACGGAGCCCGGGCTGTTCGGCGTGTGGGCGCCCAGCGGCGAGGTGCGCACGGCCCGGCAGCTGAGCGAGCGCGACGCGCCCAGGCACAGGCTGGCGGTGCTGGTGCGCGACCACGGCGAGCCGCCGCTGTCGGCCACCGTCACGCTGCACGTGCTGCTGGTGGACGGCTTCTCGCAGCCCCACCTGCCGCGGGCCGAGGCGGCGGCCGAGCAGGCGCGGGCCGAGCCGCTCACCGTGTCCTTGGTGGTGGCCCTGGCGGCGGTGTCGTCGCTCTTCCTGCTGTCGGTGCTGGGCGTCGTGGCGGCGCGGCTGTGCGCGAGGGCCCGGGCGGCGTCTGCGGGGGGCTGCTCGGGGCCCGGGGGCGGCCTTGCGGGCCACCTGGTGGACGTGAGCGGCGGCGGGACGCTGTGCCAGGCCTACCGCTATGAGGTGTGCCTGTCGGGAGGCTCGGGGACCGGCGAGTTCAAGTTCCTCAAACCGATTCTCCCCAGCTTCCTCTCTCAGGGCGAGGAAAGGGGTTAGTGAGACAAACCCGTTTCAGGGATAGCTTTTAATTCCGTTACGTTTTAATAAGAGGCTACTGAACCTAGTCTCAATTAAACTGTGGAAATGTTTTTTTTCTTAACTGCCTTGCTCATTGGGGTTTATTTACTGCCTTGCACCGTTGAAATGTATCTATCTTCATTCCAATTCAGTGCATGTAATTGGTGTTCCTAAATGTTTTGCTCTGTGGTAAATGTTTGCATTCTTATTGTTGGTTACTCTTAGTTTAACTTAATTCAGATTCTAAAGTGTGAAAGTAAGTTTTGTATTTTCAGAAGTCTTGAAGTTATAGCAACTTTTTCCAAACTCACCTTCCACAATTCCTAGGTAATTTTGCCTTTCAACATTTTTAAATGTTTGCTGTCACTACACGGGGTTATTTTTAGAGCCAAGAATATTTGTGTTTGTATATTCTCTTAGGCTACTGTAACTTTTATCCTGTGGATTCACATTGGCTAAAACCGTTAACATAGGTGTAGTCATGAATAACAAAGCACCCTCACATTTTTCTAAATATATACTTCTTTAAAGTGTCCATACATGATGATTCTTTAGAGATTGTGAGAACCTTGACTATTGTATTCCACAAACAACTCATGCTAAAAGTGCTCAATAAATCAACCACTAATATTCTAAAGTGCAGTTCAATAGCCCATGTCCAGTCATTTTCAAAGACATGCTAATTCTACATGCTATCTCAAAAAAAATTCACCTCGACTTACTCAATGCCCTCTTTTTTAAAAATCAGTTTTAATTATTAAAATCATCTATTAACTTTTAGCTAAAATATAGGGGTTTAAGGGAATATATGTCTTTGTCCTTGACCATATTTTAGAAACTCCAAATGTTGTTTGGCATTGCATCTTTCCAAATTTTCTGGAGCATTTATGATTCAATCGGAAATAAGCCTGTGGAAAAGAGATTTATTTTGCACTCCCCATTCTTTCCCCCCCCCCCACTGACTTCTGGTTTTCTGCTTTCAGTTTCCTAGATTTTTCAATACTTTTTTCTTTTTAGATTAAGCTGTGTTTCTTAATAGCTCCCCATTTATTGCATGATTAGCACAATGACTGGAAAATTGTAGGTTTCTAATAAAATTTTTGAATGATTGACTGAAAGAAGTGTTGTTATTTCACCTGTGATATATTGATAATTAAATACACTAAAATACTCCAGGACAAAATTTTGCTGGAATGAAGTGCTCTCTGATGTATAATGAATTATATGTATACTTTTTGGTTATTAGTTGAACTGACCACTGTTATTCAAACATGATGCAGTTAACAATCCCTGTTGCCACTTTCCTTCAATACATTTCTTCCTTTTTCTCTTCCTGTTTGTCTTTTTCCTGCCCATTAGCTTAAGGAATACATATGAAATTGTTTTCAATTTTATAATTTAAATTTCCTTCTATAATTCCCTAAATGACTTGTCCAATTTTTTTATTTCTTCCAGTCCAATATCCGATCCATACGTTAAAATAAAATTTTCATTCTTAATGTTCTTCAGCCTGTTGAAAAATTTTTATATCATTTTATGTTTATTTGAATGAGCTATACTATTAAAATTCTAATACGAATTCTAAATGTCTCATTTGGAGAGTAGCAGTGGTATAGAGCATTATCTTGATACCCAGAGTCTCTGATCAACTTATTACCTGTAGGATCTTGGATAAGTCACATTCTGTCTCCCCACCAAAAGATAACAACAGCTGTTTAAATAGTTTGCAGTTATGATCAAATGAAATAATGTAAAGATATTGAAGTGTAATGCTGTTATTTTTAGTATCAGTACTATTAAGTGTAAGCTTAATAGACAAAAACCTTAATGGAACATCCTGATAGTTGTAAATAAGCTACATTGAACACATATTTGTGTTGTTTCATTTCTCTGCCTAAAACCTTGCAATATCTTCCTTTTATTCTTAGAATAAAATCCAAGCACACATTATTTGGCCCCAGCCTTCTATTCCCACTCATTTCTTGAGATAAAGTTCTGGGCACCTTGTCCTTCTATTTTCTACAATAGCAATGCTTTATTGTCCCAGGGCCTTCACATACCAGTTTCTAAGGTATGAAATCTTCCCACGTTAGTCAGCCTGGCAAATTCATCATTCACGTTCCAGATTAAATGACACTTCATTGGAGAAATTTTCTCAAACCACGCATTAAGTTGGTCCCCCTATTGCGTGCTCCCAAAGCACTCGATACATTTCATGTATAAGACTTCTCATGCTGTTTGAACATGTTTATATTGTCTCTTCACCCCATTAGATGGAAAACTGTGTAAGATGTAGAGATATGGTCTGTCTTGTGACCATTATATGCCTAACTTCTGCAAACTCAACAACTACCTGTTTCCACAGGTAAAGCACAGTTAGACAGATGTAACCAATAATTGTAAAATTACTGTGAAGTAAGGAGAAAGCCCGGTCACTTTCTCCAAGATTTTAAAACCGCGAGCGAACGCATGGTGGCGCTGTTGACTAAGAAGGTGAATTGAGCCACCAGCAGTCTGGTACTCTGTGACGCACCGACCCAGTGCGGTAAACTCGGGGTTGTGAGCCCGGGCAGATTTTTAAGCAAGCAAATCTGAGTCCTTGTAGGGCTTATTCTCTAAGCCTTCTTCAAAGATTGGGAGGCAAAAGATTTGGCGTTACCTAGCGCTATCGGAGGCTCAGCGTGGTAGTATTTCCTGGGAGAGCATGGCGGAAAGTGCAATGGAGGCCAGAAGGGAGCGCTTTCTTAGACAAAGGCAAGTCCTGTTTCTCTTTGTTTTTTTGGGTGGGTCTCTGGCTGGGTCTGAGTCAAGACGCTACTCTGTGGCTGAGGAAAAAGAGAGGGGCTTTTTAATAGCCAACTTAGCGAAGGACCTAGGGTTGCGGGCAGGGGAACTGGCCGCGAGGGGGGCCCAAGTTGTGTGTAAAGGGAGCAAGCAGCATTTTCAGCTCAACCATCAGACTGGCGATTTGCTCCTGCAGGAGAAATTGGACCGGGAGGAGCTATGCAGCTTCACAGAGCCATGCATACTGCATTTTCAGATATTATTGCAAAACCCTTTGCAGTTTATTACAAATGAGCTCCAGGTCATAGATGTAAATGACCACTCTCCGATATTCTTTGAAAATGAAATGCAGCTCGAACTCCTCGAAAGCACTCCACCAGGAACAGCAATTCCTTTGGGAAATGCTGAGGACTTGGATGTGGGAAGAAACAGTCTCCAAAACTACACTATCACTCCTAATTCACATTTCCACGTTCTCACACGCAGTCGTAGGGATGGAAGAAAGTACCCAGAACTAGTGTTGGATAAAGCTTTGGACCGCGAGGAGCAGCCGGAGCTCACTTTGACGCTCACGGCCCTGGATGGCGGCTCCCCACACCGGTCTGGGATCGCCCAGATCCGCATCCTGGTCTTAGACATAAACGACAACGCCCCAGAATTTACGCTGTCCCTCTATGAGGTTCAAATTCCAGAGAACACCCCCATTAACTCTGTTATTGTCACCGTCTCAGCCTCGGATTTAGATACGGGAAATTTTGAAACAATATCATACGCATTTTTTCATGCTTCTGAAGAAATTCGCAAAACTTTTAAACTAAATCAGATTACTGGGGATATCCAACTAGTCAAATGTTTGAATTTTGAAGCGATTAATACTTATGAGGTCGACATAGAAGCCAAGGATGGCGCAGGCCTTTCGGGAAAATCAACAGTGATAATTCAAGTGGTTGATGTGAACGACAACCCACCTGAACTGACCTTGTCCTCAATTACCAGCCCTATCCCTGAGAATTCGCCAGAGACTGTGGTGGCCATTTTCAGTGTTTCTGATCTAGACTCTGGAGACAATGGGAGAATGATGTGTTCCATAGAGAACGATCTCCCCTTTGTCCTGAAACCATCTGAAGGGAATTTTTATACCCTGGTGTCGAAAGGAGCGTTGGACAGAGAGAGCGAAGCCGAGTACAACATCACCGTCACCGTCACCGACCTGGGGACACCCAGGCTGAAGAGCGAGCACAGCATCTCCGTGCAGGTGGCCGACGTCAACGACAACGCCCCGGCCTTCAGCCAAAGCGCCTACACCCTGTGGGTCCGCGAGAACAACGGCCCCGCCCTGCACATCGGCAGCGTGAGCGCCACCGACCCGGACTCGGGCGCCAACGCGCGGGTCACCTACTCGCTGCTGCCGCCCGGCGACGCGCGCCTGCCGCTGGCCTCGCTGGTGTCCATCAACGCGGACACCGGGCAGCTGTTCGCGCTGAGGCCCCTGGATTTCGAGGCGCTGCGCGCCTTCGAGTTCGGCGTGGGCGCGGCCGACGGCGGCTCGCCGGCGCTGAGCAGCCGGGCGCTGGTGCGCGTGCAGGTGCTGGACGCCAACGACAACGCGCCCGTCGTGCTGTACCCGCCGCAGAACGGCTCTGCGCCCTGCACCGAGCTGGTGCCGCGCGCGGCCGACGCGGGCTACCTGGTGACCAAGGTGGTGGCGGTGGACGGCGACTCGGGCCAGAACGCCTGGCTGTCGTACCAGCTGCTCAGGGCCACGGAGCCCGGGCTGTTCGGCGTGTGGGCGCCCAGCGGCGAGGTGCGCACGGCCCGGCAGCTGAGCGAGCGCGACGCGCCCAGGCACAGGCTGGCGGTGCTGGTGCGCGACCACGGCGAGCCGCCGCTGTCGGCCACCGTCACGCTGCACGTGCTGCTGGTGGACGGCTTCTCGCAGCCCCACCTGCCGCGGGCCGAGGCGGCGGCCGAGCAGGCGCGGGCCGAGCCGCTCACCGTGTCCTTGGTGGTGGCCCTGGCGGCGGTGTCGTCGCTGTTCCTGCTGTCGGTGCTGGGCGTCGTGGCGGCGCGGCTGTGCGCGAGGGCCCGGGCGGCGTCTGCGGGGGTCTGCTCGGGGCCCGGGGGCGGCCTTGCGGGCCACCTGGTGGACGTGAGCGGCGGCGGGACGCTGTGCCAGGCCTACCGCTATGAGGTGTGCCTGTCGGGAGGCTCGGGGACCGGCGAGTTCAAATTTCTCAAACCAGTTCTCCCCAATGGTCTGGTTCGAGACACTGAACAAGTATATTATTAACAGAATAATCAAAACGTGGTTGTTTTCCTATGAATGTTTTATTTTTAAATCAAGAATCTTTAGTTGATATAACACTTCTTTATATGTGGATTTTACTTTCTGTGTTGGTTGGTAATCTTTGCATGTTCTTTTTTCATCTGCATCCTGTGTTACTAATGCAGTCTTAATGCGTCCTATTCTTCTAATCGAGGAGCGAGAATAAATGAATCTTTTAATAATGATTTCAAATAGGTTTATTTTAAAGAACTCATTAAATTCGATGTCCAAAGCAATGTAGAGAGTTCCAAATGACCAATCTTACAATTTACCCTGTTCAATACAGTCAGATAATGTTTGTCATAATATTCCTGAATCAGCTTTGTCTGTGGTTAACGAAGTTTGTGGATAGATAATGTATTTTAAGATGTACCATCTTTTAGGGGTATAGTCCTCAAATGAAAGTAATACATTCAATTCATTCTGTTTTGACATTTGCAATTCATATCTCAATATTGCACACACTTATTGGCCAATAGGGCAGATTATTCTTAAATTTGCCTCAGCTGTATTCATGATGACTGAGGAAAAGAATTACACCTAAGGCATTTTGAACAAGTGATTGTGCTTTTCCATTTGGCATGAAAACATTGCTCAGTCATGCATCAGGCGAGATGACAATTCAGTCTATGAATTCTGACATACAAATGTTATCAACCTGAGGGCCGAATTTTTTAATGGCATGAAAGTACACACGCACACAGTCTCTAAATGCTTTATCATAGAAGTGGTGTCCCATTCCTACTTTTAAATTAATATATACTTTGCATTTATATGACATTATGTGAGCGAAATATTTTGCCTGTCTTGGTTCCCTCTTTCAGAATTCAACCTGACATGGCTCAAGATTATACATGGTCCTTCAGGGATAAACATAGTCCATCCACATCAGCGTTTGACCTCTTACAGTGTAATTAACAAAAGATATACAAGAATAGGACGTTCTAAAGAGGAGAGCAATATCATTATGAAAGTGTGAATCAGCTATAACTGAGTAAAGTCTGGAAACAACCAAACATAAGCTTTTATGGTTATTTTGAGGGAAATAGAAAAACATATTTAAGTAACAAAATATTTAGTGCCCAATTAGAGATGTTAAGAAAACAAATTTTCTCCTCATAGGCATTTACTCATCTAGAGGAACAGAGCTTTGCAGGAATTGAATATGTGACTAGAAAAAAGAGAACTGAGGTTTCTCAAAGATTTTTAAAATTCCCAAAAGAGAGAAGGAATTTAAGATTGACATGCTTTCAATTAAGTGTATGTGTAAATGGTGTCATTTTATATCACTGAGAATCAAATATATGAATCCTTAATAAGCAGTGGAAAGAGAATATTTCCTTTTACTTATTACTTTGTAGAGATGTCTAAATCTGGCTCTCTCAGATTTTTTTTCTTCTTTTCATAACTAGATGAATTTTTATGGAGAGAGATGAATTTTTATGGGTGAAGAGTTCTGGTCAAGAGTCTCTTTATTTGGCTAGCTTAGTTCCAGGTAGTATCAGAGCCAGAGAAGTATCCCATAGTGGACATAAAGGGAAGTTCTTGTTTGCACCAGTATGGCATATGACGTGGTACTGAAGTTGGAGGGGCTATACGCTGAGGACTCATTGAGGCCCAGAAAAGAGAACAGATGCTATTAGTTGGTAGTATACAACTAATTTAGTAGATGCATGGATTTCACATATTATTGAGAAAGTGAACAACATTTAGTGAGGTCAGAAAAGATCATCTGGACTAAATTTGAAGATTGGAAACAATTATACTTTACTCCTGCTTCAAAGTTGCTTTCAATTCTGGGCTGTCAAAACCTTTCACCTTTTTATTTAAAGACAATTTTAAAAACCTTTATCTCAATTTTTAAATAAAAAACTTTATTATCAAGTGCAGAGAAGGTATCACATGTATAGTGCTAACTACTGCTGCCACTTTTTGGAATTCCACGAACTGAAATTCTGGCACAAGATAAAAAGGATGACTTTCTATGTTAATAATAATTTTTTAGTAATTTTTTCTTCTAAGAAGACTGGTAAATCCATTATTGTGAGTTATTTCCAAATTGACCTCTCACTATATTCTAATATTCAGAAAGTAAGAGAAATCAAAGAAAAACTTGAGCCCCTTACCCCAGAATGCACTAAATAACCTTATTAGTACTCTAAGGAACTTAGAGTCTATTTCTGTTTTATTCAGATTTGCATCTCCAGCGCATAGCAAAATGCCTCACACATAGTAGATGTTTGAATATTTGTTGAATAAATAATTTTTTAAATACTTGGAAAATCAATCAATTTTTCAAGGACTTGTTTACTTGGAACTTATCTCCACACTGAAATTTTAAAAACTGTCTACATGCAAAGAGGTATAGCATTTAAGAACATAATTCCAAACTCTATAGAACCAATGTATTACTTAGTGGCCTCCTTTCTGGAAATTAGGAGAACACTAAAATAACGTGTTAATCTCCAAGTAGGTTTCAGATTGAGCTTTCTCACATCTTTGATTTCAAAGACAAAGAAGAAATGAAATACAAGTAATTTATAAAACAATGCCAATTTCCAACACTCTGAATTCATCAAATTAACTTTCTGAATTCTGTATTTGAGGTCTCTAATTGGTTATTCTATTGAATTTTGGTTGGTCTTCAATGTATCAAAACGAAGTGCATTTTGCAAGATCACAAAGGCTTTGAATTAACTTTAAAATAGCCAATCATTCATTTATTTTCAAAACATATTTCTAGATAGGGTGTATTCTCCCTTTTTTTCTATCTGAAAACATATCAATTCATAAATTATTTCAGTATTTCCTTTACATTCACAACCTAATTTTTAAACTGAAAAGCAAAGTGTTGAAAATGAATTTTAAACTTTTATGAGGGTTGTTAAAAGACTGTATTCAAATATCACTCATTAAAACTAGTAAAGTAACTTACCATACATTTTATACATCTTCTTTAATTTTTAAATATGGCTTTCTTGCAAAGTAGGACTTTAAAATATATGTCAGTTTTTCTACACATCTCACTCATTTATTCTAGGAGTCCTTTAGCTTTCTGAAGCAGATTTTTATATGTTTTAAAGCTGGAAATCTGTAAGTCATAATTCAGTTATTTTCTATGTGTAATACTCATATTCTTAGCCAATAGTTTGATCATAGATTTAAATTTGAACTCTTTTTCTGTCTGTTCCTTTGGTACTCAACTCTGTTGATGAAAAGCCTGATATTAGTCTAGTTCTTATTTTTTTAATCTATAAACTTCTTTATTCTCTTTTAGATTTTTTCCTTATTCTCTTGATGTTCTGATACTTCCTAGGTCCCAACCTGAGTTCACGCAGTATACTGATTTTTGTTTGTTTGAGTAAATATAGTTTTCCTTTTAAAAATATCTATTTGGCAGATTTGCACAACAACTTGCTCTTTTTTTCACGATTGCTAATTCCTTTTTTGTGTTTTTGTTTTTTGACACATAAAAAGGGTTTTAATTGCCTGGAAGGGGACTCTAATCACGGTTTTTTTTTTTTGCCCTTCTTTTTTGTTTGAGGGAATTACATATCTTTCACTTAAAGTTCTTTCCATATTGTTTTGAATCTCTATTTCTTATATATACATTCTTTCATTTTTGAGCCCATTTTCTCATGCTGTTAGTCTTCCTCACATGCTTGGTGATAGTTTATTGAGAATCCAGCTCCTATTGGAGATTTTCATCATAAAGTACTGGTTTGGTGGCCTTACAAAAGGGAGGAAGGAGAAGTCTCCAGGTGGTTCCAGCTCCAAGCTCTACAAACCAAGTCTTAATTAAGAAGCTTAGCTCTACTTTGCCACACGTAGGTGGAAGTTCTGGACCAACACCTAACATTGTGTTTGAGTCCCTGTCTCCCTTGGTGGCATTGCTCCTTGAGGCAAAATTCTCAGAGAATGTTACCCTCTACTTTTCAGTTGCTATGGTGTCTGTTAAGGCAGTACACATGGGAGCTAATGGCAACATTTTTTACACTTCAATCTTCAAATTAAATCAACTGATTTTGAAGAAAATTGAATTGCATCTGCAGTAATTGATACAGGGAGATTGCCTACAGGAAAAAAATCATGGTCTTGATTAATATGCATGAAATGTTGTATGTGGTGTCCTGGGTGACACACACAACTTGCTGGATGACCAAGAAAATCTGTTGCAAGGAAATCCTTTACTTTGAGGGGGTGCCAGGTAGAACAAGGTGGTGACCTGGCTGGCAACTTAAGTTAGACCTCAAGCAGTTTTATCATTGACTTGAGGCCTCAGAGTATTGGTGTTTAGCGTGGGGGCTCACAACCTGGCCCCCAGTGTGGAACACTGAAGCATATCTAGCTCCTAAGTGATAGGCACAGCCAGGCACAAAGTGGTGCTGTTACTAAGGACAACTAGAAGCCACCTCTGTTTGGCCTAATCATGCCATACCTGGTCTAGAACCTATCCCAGTCCTACCTTCCATGCCTGGAACCACTCACAGAAGTCAACCCAGGCTGACAAGCTCCTATTCACTTGATCATTGATATCACCTAGCTATGTCCATCATTTACTGCTCTCTGTTCCTGTTCAATGGTGCTCAGGCAGAGGATGAACAGGAAAATGATTTTTGTTTGTTTGAGTAAATATAGTTTTCCTTTTAAAAATATCTATTTGGCAGATTTGCACAACAACTTGCTCTTTTTTTCACGATTGCTAATTCCTTTTTTGTGTTTTTGTTTTTTGACACATAAAAAGGGTTTTAATTGCCTGGAAGGGGACTCTAATCACGGTTTTTTTTTTTTGCCCTTCTTTTTTGTTTGAGGGAATTACATATCTTTCACTTAAAGTTCTTTCCATATTGTTTTGAATCTCTATTTCTTATATATACATTCTTTCATTTTTGAGCCCATTTTCTCATGCTGTTAGTCTTCCTCACATGCTTGGTGATAGTTTATTGAGAATCCAGCTCCTATTGGAGATTTTCATCATAAAGTACTGGTTTGGTGGCCTTACAAAAGGGAGGAAGGAGAAGTCTCCAGGTGGTTCCAGCTCCAAGCTCTACAAACCAAGTCTTAATTAAGAAGCTTAGCTCTACTTTGCCACACGTAGGTGGAAGTTCTGGACCAACACCTAACATTGTGTTTGAGTCCCTGTCTCCCTTGGTGGCATTGCTCCTTGAGGCAAAATTCTCAGAGAATGTTACCCTCTACTTTTCAGTTGCTATGGTGTCTGTTAAGGCAGTACACATGGGAGCTAATGGCAACATTTTTTACACTTCAATCTTCAAATTAAATCAACTGATTTTGAAGAAAATTGAATTGCATCTGCAGTAATTGATACAGGGAGATTGCCTACAGGAAAAAAATCATGGTCTTGATTAATATGCATGAAATGTTGTATGTGGTGTCCTGGGTGACACACACAACTTGCTGGATGACCAAGAAAATCTGTTGCAAGGAAATCCTTTACTTTGAGGGGGTGCCAGGTAGAACAAGGTGGTGACCTGGCTGGCAACTTAAGTTAGACCTCAAGCAGTTTTATCATTGACTTGAGGCCTCAGAGTATTGGTGTTTAGCGTGGGGGCTCACAACCTGGCCCCCAGTGTGGAACACTGAAGCATATCTAGCTCCTAAGTGATAGGCACAGCCAGGCACAAAGTGGTGCTGTTACTAAGGACAACTAGAAGCCACCTCTGTTTGGCCTAATCATGCCATACCTGGTCTAGAACTTATCCCAGTCCTACCTTCCATGCCTGGAACCACTCACAGAAGTCAACCCAGGCTGACAAGCTCCTATTCACTTGATCATTGATATCACCTAGCTATGTCCATCATTTACTGCTCTCTGTTCCTGTTCAATGGTGCTCAGGCAGAGGATGAACAGGAAACCTACAGTGGACTGCTGCTCAGGAGGCCATTTTCTGAGCACTTTGAGGATATCAACATCACTGGGACTTAGCTCCAGAATTATTAATTTGAGAAGTTTCTGACTGGAATATCAGGGACAAATGCATTCATATTTCTAAAGTCAGTTGTCTCTACCCAATATATGCTGACTTTTCCATGAGGAAAGACTTCGATGAGAAACTCAAGTTCTAGAACATTTGGGGTTTGTAATAAATTAAAATTGTATTCTCTAAATGTCATTTTGAGTTCTTTTTTTTTTTTTTTGCTTAAGTTACTGTTTTTCTGGGAGAAAGGATTTCTTCATTGTGAATGTCTTATCCTATTCAGCAAGATGTATCAGTAATAAGAAAACTTTCCACAAAGAAAATCTGAGGCACGGATGGCTTCAGTGGTGAATTCTACCAAATGTTTAATGAATTAACACCAACCCTTCACAAATTTGTTTTAAAAAGAGGAGCAGAGATCACTTCCCTATTTATTCTATGAGGCGAGTATTACCCTGATGTCAAAACCAAAGATAACACAAGAAAATGAAATACCAATATCCATTATAACTATAGATGCAAAAATCCTCAACAAAGTATTAACGAAGTGACTCCAGAAGTATTAACAAAGTGACTCCAGATTTCATGTACCTTAGATTGACAAAAGGAACTGAAGAGCTGATTTGCAACAGTATTCATGTCAACATACAGGAATAAATAAACAAAATAACAGTTTAAACTTTGTTCTGAACTCTAACTATGTAGGACTTGGTTACTATAACACGACCAATTTTCTCTTTCTTTTGCACAGATATTTGTTTTCCATTTATATCTAAAATAATCTTTGTTTTCATTCTTTTCAGTACATATTTATTTTACTTAATTTTGATACACATTGAATCTCTTCTGATTTTCCTTAGATGTGAAAGAAAATTCTAAAGTGTATTAGCATTAATTTTATTGTCATTGCTACATCTTTTATAGAAATTAATAGAACTTGAATCAGAGTAAGTGTAATTGAATACTGCTTAGCACGTATTATACTCTCATCTCTTAGAATTCTGTATTCAGTTGGAGACCTGTTCATGGCTGAATGTATGATATGACAATAATCTTGTGTAGGCAGAAACATAATCATTAGAATGGATTAATTAATTTTATTCAATTGGCATATATCAAATGACGACTACAGTCCAGGCTTCTTTCAAAAATATTTGCCTAATACTTTCTATCACTATCAGAATCTATTGGCATGCTTTTAAATAACTCATTTACTGTGAATTGTAAATTTTACTCTATTAAGTTAGATAATTAAATTACAAGATACTTATTTAAAATTTGTTATTGGAAGTAGTTGATAAACAATATTATATTGACTTCAGGTGTACAGTTGGTGATTCACTAATTATATACATTGCTAAATGCTCACTATGGTAAGTGCAGTTACCCTCTGTTACCATACCAAGATATTACATAAATTACAAGGTATTTTAAGAGAGGAAATCCCATATGTGCCGGAATGAGTGGTACTCTATTCAATATACTAATTGTAACCACTAAACTGGTTAACTGTGTCTCAGTTAACTCACTAGATCAGAGCAATTGAAATAGCTGCATACTGTGCTGGAATCCATTTTATAAGAAAGTGTCTCCTTTTCACCATATATAAGTAGACAAGGCTTGAGGCACTCTGCTCACAGATTAACATAGTTTAAATGACGGCTTCTTGTTTTCCCCAAAATCAGCTGGTCAAGGAATATGAATGTAGTAAGAAGCCATGCACTATAAAATATAGGTATCTATCTAGCTGAATAAGTTTAAGCTTAAAGCCTTTATCTTAACAAAATTCTATGATTTTTACTCACTTGATTTTGTCTTGATATTATCCTGATAAGTCAGATGGGATGATCAAGTCCTATCACCCTCTGAGATTAAATTTCCTTACCTGTAAACCCCTTTCATTTACTCTCTAGATCTAAGAATCTGACTCCAGTACTCTCTGACTTCCTTCCAAATGTATTGCAAGTTCACACTGTACAGGCACTTCTAACAGAGCAAAGTGCTTTTTCATTCAACTATATTACTATTTGTATGCCAGACTAGGAAAACAGAACCTTTCTTTGAAAAATAGTCTCCCAGAAACCACGTGATACAGAACCCGTTAAACTTTTGTATCATCACAAATTCCTCACATAGTTGGAAATAAGCAGATAGGACTATTATGAATTCTAATTTTATAAAAGTTTATCTCTTCTGGTTAGATTATTCAAAGGGGAAGTGGAGTTCTTTGAAGTTCCATGATTAGGGTGAGCAGAGACCGAAATATCCTCTTGCTTGGTGCTCACAATATTCTAGCTCATGCAATGTAATGGAATGGCCTTATAAATCATATAATTTAGTGGAAAAACAAAGTTTGTAAAAGTTCTACGCACTTTTAAGAACAGCTTGCATTTAGACACATAAAATATCCTATGCCTTGAGAACATTAATTTCTCAGTCAAGACGCAGGGTGGCGCTGCAGGCTAAGATTGTGAAAAAAGCCCTAAAAGCTCTAGTGTTCCTTTGTTGCAAGGAGGAATCAAAACACCCGGAAGGAGCTTGGCCAGCAGTACTGGATTACCAACGAATTTGGGTTGTGATATACTAAACAAATTTAAGATAAAAAACAACTTTGTGAGGATTCCACCGAATATCTCGAGTCTTTTTGTGGTTGCTGAGGGGACTGGATGTAAGGACTCTGGCACCAACATGAAGACGCTAGAGGGAATTCAACCGAACAGGCAAGTGATGGCCTTTATTTTGATGGTGATCTTGTCTCAGTCTCGCCCAGAGCCTATTCATTATTCTGTGCTGGAAGAAACAGAGAGCGGCTCATTTGTAGCGCATCTGACCAAGGATCTGGGCCTGGAAGTCGGGGAACTGGCCGCCCGGTCGGCCCGGGTGGTGTCTGACGATGACAAGCAGCGCTTGCGGCTGGATCGTCAGACAGGAGATTTGCTTTTGAGGGAGAAAATAGACCGGGAAGAGCTGTGTGGTCCCATTGAACCGTGTGTCCTGCATTTCCAAGTGCTCCTGGAAACACCGGTGCAGTTTTTTGAAGGAGAATTATCAATCCAGGACATAAATGACCACTCCCCAGTATTCCCGACTAGGGAAATGCTCTTGAAAATACCAGAAAACAGCCTGCCAGGGACTCTGTTTCCATTGAAATCAGCTCAGGATTTAGATGTGGGAAACAATGGTCTTCAAAAATACACTATCAGCCCCAATTCTCATTTTCACATTCTCACTCGCAATCATAGTGAAGGCAAAAAATACCCAGATTTGGTGCAAGACAAAGCCCTGGACAGAGAGGAGCAGTCTGAGCTCAGCTTAATTCTCATGGCTCTAGACGGTGGGTCTCCCCCCAAATCTGGCACCATCACGGTGCGAATACTGATCATGGACGTCAATGACAATGCTCCTGAGTTTGTGCACACCCCATATGAGGTACAGGTCCTGGAAAACAGCCCCCTAGATACCCCAATACTTAGTGTCTTAGCTAGGGACATAGATGCTGGAAACTTCGGGAGTGTTTCCTATGGCTTCTTTCAAGCATCAGATGAAATTAAACAAACTTTCTCAATAAATGAAGTCACAGGAGAAATCCGACTGACAAAGAAATTGGATTTTGAACAAATTAAGTCTTACCACGTGGAAATTGAGGCGACAGATGGAGGAGGCCTTTCTGGAAAAGGCACGGTAGCCATAGAAGTGGTGGATGTGAACGACAATGCCCCTGAACTGACCATATCTTCACTCACCAGCTCCATCCCAGAAAATGCTCCTGAGACTGTAGTTTCTGTCTTCAGAATTCGAGATAGAGACTCTGGAGACAATGGAAAGATGATTTGCTCTATTCCAGATAATCTGCCATTCATTCTAAAACCAACTTTCAAGAATTTCTACACTCTGGAAACAGAGAGACCCCTGGACAGAGAGCACAGGTCCGAGTACAACATCACCATCACCGTCACCGACCTGGGGACACCCAAGCTGAAGAGCGAGCACAGCATCTCCGTGCAGGTGGCCGACGTCAACGACAACGCCCCGGCCTTCAGCCAAAGCGCCTACACCCTGTGGGTCCGCGAGAACAACGGCCCCGCCCTGCACATCGGCAGCGTGAGCGCCACCGACCCGGACTCGGGCGCCAACGCGCGGGTCACCTACTCGCTGCTGCCGCCCGGCGACGCGCGCCTGCCGCTGGCCTCGCTGGTGTCCATCAGCGCGGACACCGGGCAGCTGTTCGCGCTGAGGCCCCTGGATTTCGAGGCGCTGCGCGCCTTCGAGTTCGGCGTGGGCGCGGCCGACGGCGGCTCGCCGGCGCTGAGCAGCCGGGCGCTGGTGCGCGTGCAGGTGCTGGACGCCAACGACAACGCGCCCGTCGTGCTGTACCCGCCGCAGAACGGCTCTGCGCCCTGCACCGAGCTGGTGCCGCGCGCGGCCGACGCGGGCTACCTGGTGACCAAGGTGGTGGCGGTGGACGGCGACTCGGGCCAGAACGCCTGGCTGTCGTACCAGCTGCTCAGGGCCACGGAGCCCGGGCTGTTCGGCGTGTGGGCGCCCAGCGGCGAGGTGCGCACGGCCCGGCAGCTGAGCGAGCGCGACGCGCCCAGGCACAGGCTGGCGGTGCTGGTGCGCGACCACGGCGAGCCGCCGCTGTCGGCCACCGTCACGCTGCACGTGCTGCTGGTGGACGGCTTCTCGCAGCCCCACCTGCCGCGGGCCGAGGCGGCGGCCGAGCAGGCGCGGGCCGAGCCGCTCACCGTGTCCTTGGTGGTGGCCCTGGCGGCGGTGTCGTCGCTCTTCCTGCTGTCGGTGCTGGGCGTCGTGGCGGCGCGGCTGTGCGCGAGGGCCCGGGCGGCGTCTGCGGGGGGCTGCTCGGGGCCCGGGGGCGGCCTTGCGGGCCACCTGGTGGACGTGAGCGGCGGCGGGACGCTGTGCCAGGCCTACCGCTATGAGGTGTGCCTGGCTGGAGAACCTACGACTGGTGAGTTCAAATTCCAGAAGCCAATGTTCCCCAACCTCTTGGTTCACGACACTGAGAGAGAAATTAAAGAAAACCCCAACTGCAGGAATAGCTTTGTATTCAGTTAAGCATTGTATTTTGTCCTCAGCCCCTTGTAATTTTGGCAAAGTTATCTCCGATTGCGATACCTTTAAGGAATTGGATTGTTGTCTAAATATGTATATCTCTTCCAGACTTATGTATGTTACTGATCATGCTGTTTCTTCTCTTATTAATATTCATTGGAATTAGCAACTTTTAGGTACACTGGATGTCATGTTTTTCTTCATATTTGACTTTCTTTTGATGACTGATCTCTCCGTAACTATTAATTACTTCAGTAATAGGAGAAAATTTAATTAAATCAAGTTCTTAATGTCTTTTTGATGAAACATTTTAAAGGTTTCATGTAATCCTGCATTTCTATATGTTTGTGGTGCTTGTCTTTACTCTATAGCTTTACCTTTGCAAGGCCAGGTGTTTGGAATGCTTTCCATCCCCCTTGGCCTTTCTTGTTGTCTTTCCTACAGGCTTTGCCTGATGAACAACCATGAGCACATATCTTAGCATCCTTGTTTCTTCCAAATTGTACATAAGCATGTACTTCATTAAAATAATACACTAAAATTGTGACCTCCCATTGTGAGCACTATATATGCCGGAGATTTTTAAAATTCATTTGATTGCTACTTAGCACATTGTAAGTGCTCCATAAATGTTATTATTGAAATTTAAAAATTATTCTCATTTGTAAACAATCATTGAGGAGAAAATCTTCTATAATTTGCATCACTTTCACTAAATAAAACTAAGTCACTGCTTGGTAAAATCTTTAAAAACAAATCTCAGATCTTTAAATAAACCTTAAATCCTTTCAAAGGATTCAAGACATAAAGCGCATCATACACTTCCTTACCCTTACTTTTGACCAAGTGTAGTTTTGTGTATGTGTTTCTTTTGGTTTTCCTGTACCTTCTCACACCATTCAAAAGAATCAGAGAATTTCTTCTGAGTTTCAGTTGGTCTATTTAAGTCTGATTATTGGGTGACAGCAGATTTTACTTTAAGTTACACTGCAGACACGGACAGCCTTCAGCAACAAAATAATGATTTATTTTCAATACCCCAGTTATCTTGTTTTGTTTTTCAGTGTAGCTTTCAGGTATTTTCTGTAAATTTATCAATTATGCTGATATTTCATTTTTAAGAAATAAGTATTATTTTATCCTTTAAGACAAAAAGAATAGAAATGGAAATTAAATTACATAAGAAATGAATTTCTCTCTAATTGCTTTATGTTGTGTTCAATAATCAAGTAAGCTGATCTTGTGGTTTCCAACTAAATTATATGGCTAGAACTATAAGACCACTTAGTTGAACTTCTGGCACAATATGAGCAATTAAAGATCTTGATTTATAACCTAAATATTTGTTTTTAAATCTCACATGCCATCCTGCTGGAATCTAATTATTTGCTCTTTTCCTTGAATTACTTTTTTCCTAAGGATATAATAAAATAAAAAGAGGAAGTTACTGATAGTTTGAGTTATTCATGAAGCACAGCTTACAGCTTTTATCCAATCTGAAAACTGAAATGACAAGTGATAAAAAGAACAAAATTAAATACAAATATGGTATTCAGTTTTAATGGCATCTCATTATTAGCTATTTAAATGAAACAGCTTTTATGTTTAATGAAAAGAATTCTGGTTGAAGTTTTCACCAATGTATTTCAACATTATGAAAATCCAAGACCACTTTTTTTTTGTTTATGCCAGGAAAGTCCAATTTTTATAGTCACCCAGATGATATTGATCAAATAAATACCCAGGACCCACTGTTATGAATTTATGTGAGTAAATTTACAAATGACTTTGTGTATTACTTCATGAATTATATGAGTATTCATAAAGCATGGATCCTTCCTTACTGGCTAAGGATTGCCACCAGACTTTGGTGTAAAACACATCAACATTCTGAAATTTAGTTATTATAATTTAGTAGTGAACATGATCTAAATACCTTCCACAAAATGCATACCTAATGAAAAAGAGCCAGTTGTTGCAAAACAAAAATAATGGAGGTCAAATACTTGATAACAATATCCATTTCAATCATGTATTTTCTCAGATGCTCCTATCATCTTTTTCCCCCCAGCTTTATTGAGAAATAATTGATATACTTACTGTGCAAATTAAGGCATACAGCATGATAATTTGATTTACATATATTGTGATATGATTATCACAACAGGTTCAGCTAACATCCATCTTACATGTGCACCTTTTACAATTCCTTTGTTATTATTTTTAACCATGCATATAGTAAGTTTTGGGGGCAGAAATTCTACTGAAGGAAATACAGGCCCACATCACTTGTACACTCCCTTTTCCTTTCTACCTAAAGTTGCAAAATAGAGATTTTAAATAGTCTGAGTTTAAAAGTCATGCACATATTTGGTGTAATTCTGCTTCTATGTTATATGGCTTATCTAACAGCAGAAACAACTATAAAATTGGCTTAAAATTCAGAAATGATCTGTTTGCAGCAACAGACAGCAGTTGATATAATAGAAACTGAAGGGCCTAAGATTTCTGAAAAGGAAAATCCTTGGAGATGTGAACTGACTCATCAGTCTGTCCTGAGAGAATTTGCTAAGTTTGAGAACAGACAAAAGTCTCTTGCCAAGGATAGGGTAACAACCTTTGGAAGGTGAAGATTTAAGCTTATGGCCAATTTTCCCCTTGAGGATACTGTTCAAAATCAGGGACATCCCAGGGAAGACCAAAAACATAAGTGGAAACTTTCTGAAAAAGAAGGTGCAATTTTGATAGTCGTGCTGCAAAAGCTTAGGGTTTAGAACCTGCCATGGGAAGGGACTGTTAAGTTCTCAAGTGAAACTTCTGGAGGGTCAGGTGCTTATCAGGACTGCAAAGACCCTTGACTAAGCACAATGTCTGTTTGGATTAAGGAAATTTGATTATATGTGACTCAATCAAGCTAACAAAGGAAAAAAAATGAACTCTTTCTGAAGGAAGATAGTATTATCTGGATCCTGGACAGCTTTTTACATAAATGTTCAGCATTTAACAAAAAATCAGTAGGCACATGTGCACACATGCACACACACACACACACACACACACACACACACACACACACAAATCTAGAGCAAAAACAGACAATACAAAGACCCACAAAAGAAACAGATACTAGGATGTACTGAAAACGATGTTAAAATAAGTATGACTAATATGTTAAATATAAAGAATAGAGAAAACAGATAAAAGAGACTTTCACCAGATCATTTAAATTTAAAATGGAAATTACAGAACTGAAAAGTATAATGTCTGAATTAAAAAACATTTAGATGGTTTAATGGCACAGTAGACATAAAGGAATACAGGATTAGTGAATGCAAGGCAGGCCAATATAAAATGTCCAAATAGAAGCACAGGGAAAAGAAATAATGAAGAATCCAGAAAACAATGGTAGTGGCATGTGGGACATAATGAAAAACTCTGACATGTACATGATGGTAATTTTAAAAGAACAAGACTAGGAATGGGGACTAAGCAATGTTTGAAAAGATAATAATCAAGAATTTTGCAAAATTGGTGAAAACCTTTCACTCCTCAAGATGCTGAGGGACACCCAATCAGGAGAAATAAAAAACAAAGCACACGTAGGCATATTATAGGAAAGCTATTGAAAACCAAAGTCAAGGAGAAAATCTTAAAAGCAACCACATAAAAATGACACATTGCTTTTAAAGCAATATCAATCAAATGGAGAGCTGACTTTTCAATATAAATCACAAAATCCAAGGAAAGGAAATGATGCCTTTAAAGTCTGGGGGGAAAAAAAAGACTAGAATTATAGTACCAGAAAATATATCCTTCAAAAAATGTGTGATGACTGCCCTTGCACTGTTCACCATGTAAGAACTTGTTCATTATGCTTCAGAAGATTGGAGACTGTTGAGAATTAGGCTTGGGGTGGATTAATGATTGTGCATTGAGTCCCCTAGACAGAATTTTATTGTTGTTAACAACCATTTGATCAATAAATATGAGAGATGCCCTCTCAAAAAAAATGAAACTCACAAACAAAATCACAGTCACATCTATGCTAAAAGAAATACAGTGGAACTCATTAGGCAAAAAGAAAACAGTTCTAAAGGAATCACAGACTCAGGAAGGAATGAAAAGCAACAGGAAGGGTAAATATAAATTTAATATTGATTATACCACGCAAAAATAGTACTTTCTTAAAGGATTTAAAACATATATAAAATGTAATTTCATGACAATAATAATGTAAAAGGCAAATGGTATAAATGGAGTTAAGGAGTTCTAAGGTTCTAAGCGTTCTCATAGAAGTGGTAAAATCAATAATTTGTATTAGACTCTTAGAGATCAAAGATACATACTAGATACATACTGAATCTCTAGGATAATCATAAGAATAACTTAAAACTTAAGAATACTTAAAAACTGACTGAAAAAAATGAAAAGTGACCAATACCTGAATAATTCAGAAAAAAGAAATCTTAGGGAAAAAATTAGTTGGTAAATATAAATGGGATGATATAAAATATTACATTAATTGTAATTGCATTAAATAATCCAATTAAACAACCAAAATTATCAGACTAGATTTAAGAAAAATTCAACTATATACTGTCATGTAAGTGTGTGTGTGTGTGTGATATCACAGAAAGATTGGAAGTTTAAAAATAGGAAAAGATATATAATACAAACACTAAAATAAACCTAGTATAGATAGCTGTATTCCCATAACATAAGGGAGACTTGTTAAGGAAAGATGCATTGCTAGAGATGAAGAGAGATGTTTCATAATGATAGAGGTATATCTATCAGAAATAAGTCAGTCATGAGCTTGAATATATCCCCTTAAGATAACTACACAATATATAAAGTTAAATTAAGAGAACATAAATGAGAAATATACAAATTCTTAGTCATAGTAGGAGACTTAATGCAACTTTCTCCATTTCTGATAGAATAAGAAGACACACACACACAGAAAGAATATTAAAAATTGGAAAAATACAGTAATTATATTTGGATAAACTGACTTACATTGCATAGTAGAGATACATATTCTTTTTATGTGCATATGAAATATCTTAAAATTATCCATATTCTGTGTCATAAAGTAAGCCTCAAAAAGTTTTAAAAGAATTGTAATGACTCACAATATGCTTCGATAGTGGAATTAAGACAGAAATAAAAATATAACAAGAAATCCCCAAATTCTTCAAATTAAGTAATATAATCCATGGGGGAAAAAAATTCACAGCAGAAATTTCCATATATTTTGAACTAAGCAAAAATTAAGATCTGATGTATCAAAACAGTACTTAGAGGGAAATTTTAAAACTTTGGAGGCACGTATGAGAAAAAAGATTAAAAATCAATAATATAAGCTTTTATCTGAATAAGCTAGAAAAATCTAACACAAAGGAAGAAAATAACATATGCAATATATATATAAACATAAATACAATAAATGATAAATATACAACAGAGAAAATCAATAAAACTGAAAGTTGGTTCTTCATAATGACTAATAAAATAAAAACTCTTAGTAAGACTAATCAGGAAAAAAGAAAGAAAACACCAACTACCAATATCAAATGAGAATGGAACATCACTACCAATCCTACAGACATTACAAAAATAAAAAGAAAGGGATATGAAGAAGAACTTTATGCCAATCAGGCAATTTATGTAAAATGACAAACATCTTTTAAAACACAATTTACTGAAACTGAAACAAGAAGAAATAGAAAGTCGGATTAGTTATATCTATTAAGTAAATTAAATATGTTGTTAAAAATCATGCCAAATCATTACAAATACTTATGAAAGAACACCAATTTGAACAAACTCTTTCAGAGAATAGAAAGATAGGAAACATTTCCCAGAGCCTCTGAGTGCCAGCATGACTTTAATGGATTATGACATACAAACCTGAGTAGGACATTATAAGAAAGGAAAATTACAGACCAAGCTCTTTTATAAACAGAAGAATTGTAAACAAAATGTCAGCAAATAAAATTCAGAAATATGTGAAAAGGAAATAATAAATTTCAAGAAAATTGTGTTATTTTAGGAACACAAAACTTAATATTTGAAAGTCAAAGAAAATCATTCATCATATTAACAGATAAAGGAGAAAAATCACATGGTTCTCCCAATGGATACAGAAAAAGCTATTTGTGAAAATTCAGCACACATTCATGGTAAAATTGTAAGCAAGTTGAAAATAGAAGGGAACTTTCACAGTGTATTTTAAAACCTACAGTGAACATCCTTGGTGGCAAATTAAGGAAAACTTTCTCTCAGTGATCAAGAATGAGACAAGAATACCTGCCTTTACAATTTCACTTCAGTGTTTTACTATAGATCCTAATCAGTGGAATAAGGCAAATGAAAACAGCAGAATGATTGGAAGGGAAGACATGAGAATTTTTTTAAATGACATGATTGTATACATAAAATCAAAGATTCTACAGCCTATTAAGAATCTACAATCTATTAAGATGGATAAACGGTTAGAATGCCACTGAGTACAAGGTCAGCATGCAAAGTAGATTGTATTTCTATATAACAAAACCCCCAAATAAAAAATTTCAAGTATAATTTATAATAGTTTCAAAAACATAAAATATGTAGAAACAAACCTAGCAGAATATGTGTAAGATTTCCACACTGAAAAATATAAAATGTTGTTGAGAAAAGCTGAAGATCTAAATACATGGAGGGATATACAATGTTCAATAGTTGGAGTACTCAATGTTGGGAATATGTAATTACTCCCCAATCTATAGATGTAATAAAATCCTGAACAAAATTTCATCAGATTTCTTTGTGAAAATTGACAAGTTGAATCTAAAGTTTATATGGAAACACAAAGGGACAATCTTAACCAAAGTAATTTGAAGAAAATAAAAGTGGTGGCCTTAACTATCAGACAATAAGCTTATTATAAAGTTACAGTAATTCAGGCAATATGGTGTTGCAGGATAACCAAAGAGAAAAACGGGGAAAAAAAGAGTCTTGAACAGATGGTCACCTGATTTATGGCAAACTGACACTTCAGAAACAATGGGCAATAGATCTTTTCAGTAGATGGTGCAAAGTCATTTGGATATTTATATGGAAAAAATAATTTGACCCTAACCTTATTCATATGAAAAAAATAACTTCAGGAGAATAATGGCTCTAAATGCAATTGTTTTTCAAAAAACACACACAAGAATATTTTCATGACATTGGAGTATGCAAAGACTTAGAACACAAAAAGGCCTAATCATAAATGAAAAATGTTGACAAATTAGACTAAGTTAAGAGGTTAAGTTCATCAAAGATACCACAAGAGAGTTAAAATGCAAGCCATAGAGTGGGAGAAGACATCTGCAATACATACTTCTGAAGAAGTGCTTATACCTGGAATGTATGAGACTTCTAAAGATTGATAAGAAAGACAAAGGGCAAATGCCCTAAATAGAAAAACTGACAAAGACTTAAGCATGTCACAAGAACGTACCCTAATGGACAATAAATATGAAAAATGTGCTCAATTTAATCATCAGGGAAATGCTAATTAAAGTTATAATATAATATCACCAAGAGCAGTTAAAGTTAAAAGACAATATCAAATGTTGAGAAGGATGTGGAGCAACTGGAAATCATTTTTTGCTGGTTTTGGTAAAACCACGTTTGAAAACTGTTTTTGTGATATTGGTTAAAGCTAAATATATGTGCACATCTAACACACAGCAGTCCAACTCCCAGGAACACATTAGACATAAATGTATATGCAGACACCAAAAGACATGTACAAGAATGTTCATACAGCACTACTCAAAATATCCCCAAAATGGAAATCCCCAATGCCCATCAGCTGGAGAAAAGGTAAACAAATCAAGGTATAGTCATACAACAGAATAATCTCAAGTGATGGGAACAAAATTAATTAGAACAATATATAACAGATGAATTTTACAAACATTAATGTTAAGAGGCCAAACACAAAAGAGTAATATTCTGTAACTCCATTTGTATAAAATTTCAAGAGAGAAAAAAAACCCCTATGATAATAGAAGTCAGGAGAGTGCTTACCTTTAGCGGGAAGGGTAGTGACCAGACAATGACAGGAGGAAATGCCTAGGGTTTTGGTAACACTTTAATTTAGGTTCTACTTAAAGGAATGTGTTCACTTGGTGAAAATTCATTCAGTTGTACACTTATGATTTTGTGCTCTTTTAAGATGTATGTTACATTTAAAAATAAAAATAATCCTCATACAATTAACATTTGTTAACATCTATCTCTTACTCTTGAATGTAACCAAATACAGAAACCCACAATAGAAACTTTCTTCTTGTACTTGTATTTTATGAGGAATATATCATTTTAGTTCACTCTGAAAAGTATTCTTTCATTGCATGTTAACCAAGCAAATATTTATTTAGAACTTTCAATAAGTAAGAACTGAAGATATGATCAGGAATACTTCTGTGACTTCAAAGAATATTGATACACACCAGAGTTATAATTTGGAATGAAATGGCAAATTATATATGCAATAGTAAATAAGAACGCCTGGTGGCGCTGCAGGCTAGGACTATGAATGAAGGGCTCTGGATACCCAGGACGCCATTAAGCTGGGAATCAGAACTCTGAATGCTTCCCAAAAGAAGGAAGCATTTCAGATAAGATCTGGGTGCAGAGATCTTCAGAGAGACATTCGTCTAGTGCAAGTCAGTCAGAAAGATCTAATTAGAGGTTATTTAACCAAAGCATCTGGGTTGATTGTATACCGAGTTGAAGAAACTGCATTTTCTTGAACGGGGTCTGGACAATGGAGACTACGCTAGCAAAAACGCCACAGACAAGGCAAGTTACTTTTCTTACTATATTGTTGCTTTTCTGGGAGGCTGGCTCTGAAGCAATTAGGTATTCCATGCCAGAAGAAACAGAAACTGGCTCCTTTGTGGCCAACCTAGCAAAAGACCTGGGGCTCAGGGTGGGGGAACTAGCTACTCGGGGCGCGCGAATCCATTACAAAGGAAACAAACAGCTCTTGCAGCTGGATATAAAGACCGGGAATTTGCTTCTGTATGAAAAACTAGACCGGGAGGTGCTGTGCGGGTTGACCGATCCCTGTATACTGCATTTCCAACTATTACTGGAAAACCCGGTGCAGTTTTTTCAAGCTGATCTGCAGCTCACAGATATAAATGACCATTCCCCAGAGTTCCTAGACAAGGAAATGCTCCTAAAAATCCCAGAGAGCGTCCAGCCTGGGACTGTATTTCCTTTGAAAATGGCGCAGGACTTTGACATAGGTAGCAACTCTGTTCAGAACTACACAATCAGCCCCAACTCCCATTTTCATGTTGTCACTCATAATCGCGGAGATGGCAGAAAATACCCAGAGCTGGTGCTGAACAAAGCGCTGGATCGAGAAGAGCAGCCTGAGCTCAGCTTAACCCTCACGGCGCTGGATGGCGGGGCTCCGCCCAGGTCCGGGACCACTGCAGTCCGCCTTGAAGTTGTGGACGTCAATGATAACGCCCCTGAGTTTTCACAGTCGCTCTATGAGGTACAGGTGCCCGAAAACAGCCCCCTAGACTCCTTAGTTGTCGCTGTCTCCGCCCGAGATATGGATGCGGGAACATACGGGTATGTTACCTACAGTCTATTTCAAGGAGATGAAATTACTCAGCCATTTGTAATAGACGAAATAACGGGAGAAATTCGTCTGAAAAAGACATTGGATTTTGAGGCAACTCGATATTATAATGTGGAAATTGCAGGCACAGACGGTGGGGGTCTTTCAGGAAAATGCACTGTAGCTGTAGAAGTGGTGGACGTGAATGACAACGCTCCTGAACTGGCCATGTCGACGCTCACCAACTCCATCCCAGAAAACGCCCCAGAGACTGTAGTTGCTGTTTTCAGTGTTTCTGATCCAGACTCTGGGGACAACGGAAGGGTGGTTTGCTCCATTCAAGATGATCTCCCCTTTCTCCTGAAACCCACATTCAAGAACTTTTACACCCTAGTGACAGAGAGACCGCTGGACAGAGAGAGCCAAGCCGAGTACAACATCACCATCACCGTCACCGACCTGGGGACACCCAGGCTGAAGAGCGAGCACAGCATCTCCGTGCAGGTGGCCGACGTCAACGACAACGCCCCGGCCTTCAGCCAAAGCGCCTACACCCTGTGGGTCCGCGAGAACAACGGCCCCGCCCTGCACATCGGCAGCGTGAGCGCCACCGACCCGGACTCGGGCGCCAACGCGCGGGTCACCTACTCGCTGCTGCCGCCCGGCGACGCGCGCCTGCCGCTGGCCTCGCTGGTGTCCATCAGCGCGGACACCGGGCAGCTGTTCGCGCTGAGGCCCCTGGATTTCGAGGCGCTGCGCGCCTTCGAGTTCGGCGTGGGCGCGGCCGACGGCGGCTCGCCGGCGCTGAGCAGCCGGGCGCTGGTGCGCGTGCAGGTGCTGGACGTCAACGACAACGCGCCCGTCGTGCTGTACCCGCCGCAGAACGGCTCTGCGCCCTGCACCGAGCTGGTGCCGCGCGCGGCCGACGCGGGCTACCTGGTGACCAAGGTGGTGGCGGTGGACGGCGACTCGGGCCAGAACGCCTGGCTGTCGTACCAGCTGCTCAGGGCCACGGAGCCCGGGCTGTTCGGCGTGTGGGCGCCCAGCGGCGAGGTGCGCACGGCCCGGCAGCTGAGCGAGCGCGACGCGCCCAGGCACAGGCTGGCGGTGCTGGTGCGCGACCACGGCGAGCCGCCGCTGTCGGCCACCGTCACGCTGCACGTGCTGCTGGTGGACGGCTTCTCGCAGCCCCACCTGCCGCGGGCCGAGGCGGCGGCCGAGCAGGCGCGGGCCGAGCCGCTCACCGTGTCCTTGGTGGTGGCCCTGGCGGCGGTGTCGTCGCTCTTCCTGCTGTCGGTGCTGGGCGTCGTGGCGGCGCGGCTGTGCGCGAGGGCCCGGGCGGCGTCTGCGGGGGGCTGCTCGGGGCCCGGGGGCGGCCTTGCGGGCCACCTGGTGGACGTGAGCGGCGGCGGGACGCTGTGCCAGGCCTACCGCTATGAGGTGTGCCTGTCGGGAGGCTCGGGGACCGGCGAGTTCAAGTTCCTTAAACCGATTCTCCCCGACCTCCAACCCCAACGTGCTGAGGAAGCAATACAGGAAAATGCCACCTTCCAGCATAGCTTTGGATTCAAGTAAGTATCCGATCGAGATGCAGTGCGTTTTGACATTTATCTCTAATTTCCCCAGATACGGAGTTTGAGAACGTCGTGCAGAAAAACCCCACCTTCACATATAGCCTTGATTTTCCTTCTACAATGAACTTGTCCATTGAACTTTATCCTGCCCAGTTTTGGAAGACTGAGCTCTGTATCATTGTGTCTATTTACATAATGTCATTCCAAATGCACGCATGCTGTTCATTTCATGAAATGTTTGCTCTTCTTGGTACTTGTCAGGATGAACTGACTTATTGAAGTAAAATATTTTGAGGTTTTCTCTGTATTCTATCCATGTTTCATCACATTCTAAGTATATTTGAGGCTAAATAGCAAAAAGAAAATGTTTTTACATAATTTTCTTTATTTGCTTTCAAACGATTACATGCATCTGGTAACAAATGTATTGAGAAAATGTGATGAAAAGCAACAATCTTCAGTCTACTTTTCTTCCCTAGCTCTCCTCTCCACCGGCAAATCTTTTTTAAAACAAATGCTTTTGGTGAATTGTAGCACATATACAGGAAAGTGAACTATGCAGTTCAATGTATTTTCAGAAAGTGAACATACTTGGTACCAGCATCTTGATGAGAAATGAAACACTACTAGAAACCCAGGTGCCACACAAATTACCCCTTAAAATCACTACAAGCCCAAGTATGACAAATATCCTGACTTCCAATACTATAATTCAGTTTTCCCTATTTTAAACCACATAAATAGGACAGTAGAGTATGAAATGTTTGGTGTCTGGCTTCTTTCACTCATCACTATGTTTTTGACAGCTGTCCACAATAGTACTTTTAATTTTAGTTCCTCATTCTCATTGCTGTATAGTATTCCACTGTATGAATATTTCAGAATTTATTTTCCATTCTACTGTAGATGGGTATTGGGATTGGTGCAAGGTTTGATTGCTTGAATACTACTGTAATAAACATCCTTGTACATGTCTTTTAGCAAACATGTATATGCCTTTATGTTGGGTATATACCTAGGGATGGAATTGCTGTTCATTTGGTAAGTATATAGTCACATTTAGGAGATACTTCCAAATAGTTTTTCCAAGTGGTTGTCCAAATGTACACAGATATCAGCAGTGCTAGATGTAGCAGTTCCTCCAGATTCTTGTCAACACCTGGCCTTGTCTGTTTTTCATTTTATCCCATTGGAAAGCACTTTTAAACCCATTATTTTCTAGCTCTTTTTATATTCAATTCTTCATCACTAAAAACATATCTGTAACTTTTTCATAAAATTTAACAATTTCCTGCTATTGTTTAGTACATAGCATCTTAGAATTTCTCTCATCCATCCTCCACATATAGCTATTTCACTATTTTCTGGTACCTTTCTGGACAAACTGAAACCTCAATTTTTGTTCCACTAACAGTTCATTTAGGTAATGTTGTATTAAAGAAAAGAATATAATTCTTATTTTTCCTGTACCTGTTTCTCTCTTACACTTTCAAACCTCTCTCAAATGAGCTTGTATATAGTCAAGGTTGGTGACTCTTTTTATTCTATAACCATAGCTAAAAATTCCTTCTTTTGTCTACAAATCTGTTTTAGAACCTGAAAATCAGTATTAAAAAATGTACTTTTAATGACCAAATAAATTATGAATACTCTGCTACCAAAGATCAGCAGGAACATAGTGTATCAGAACTAAGGTTTACTGACTTGTATGAGGCGGACTACGCGTCATGGGGAACCATGGGTCACCTTAGTAACAGGGTCTTACAAAGGTAGAATTTGGGGTTTTGTTAGCTGATTTGGGGTTGGGTCAAAGGAAGTAGGGGTTAGCTCTGGATTGGATACACTCAAAGAATAAAGATCATTTTATGGTTATCTTAATGAATTTTATTTAGGAGGGTGGGAAAAACAAAATGGGGTTAAAGTTGTAACTTTTTTTTTTACAAAAAGGCAGCATTCACTCATAAGGGCCAGAAAAAAAGGATTCTTTGGTCTTTTCTTTTTGCACAATGTTCTTGTTTTTGTTTTGCATATTATATATGTAATTCAATCTCTTATTAGTCCAACACTCCAGAACTCTTCAAGTCTAGGACTGTTTCCTCACTACTATTATTTCCTTAATAATTATATTCCTAACTTCGGCTATTTCTTTCTGAGACTTGTGCTTTTTAGATATTGAACATTCTCAATTGTTTCTCTGTGCTTCTTGTATTTCTCTTTTATGTTACATCTTTGGTTTTTTTCCCTCTACATCCTCACTTAAAGTGAATACCTCAGTTTATTTTGAGTATTTCAATTTCTCCCTCGCAAGAGAAGTGTTGATACCTGCTGCCACAGGAAACAGAGAGATCCTGGCAGCTTTGCAGCAGAGGTGTGACATGCTGAAAACAGGGGAAAAGCTTCATGATATTGAACTTGGCAGTCTGCACCAAAAGAGATTGTAGCCAAACTTCTGAAAACTAAAGAGAAAGAAAAAAATCTTGAAAGAAATGAGAAAGAAATGACATATTGCCCATACAGCAATAAATAACTTAAATGACAGCTTTCTCTTCAGAAACCCTGGAAGCTAGAAAGAAGTGACACAATAATTTTCAAGTGCTGAAAGAAAAGAACTGTTAACCCGGAGTCCTATGTTTCAGTGAAAATATCCTTCAGGAAGAGAAGCTTTTGCCAGTAGACCATATCTAAAAGAATGGCCAATGAACATTCTCCAAACAGAAAGGAATTAATTTAAAAAGAAAAAGAATATTGGAACATCAGGAAAGAAGAAAAAACACAGCAAACACAAATGTGGATAAATGAAATAGAGTTTCCTTGAGTTTTATAAATTTTTGGTGGTTGAAATCCAAAATTATAACACTGTTCTAAGTGTATGAAGAGAAAATATTTAAGACAATTATATTATAAATGGAGGAGGGTAAAGGAGTATAAAGGTAGCTAAGTTTTTCACCCTTTTTTTGAACTGGTAAAAACACCATAAACTGTGATGTTATGCACAGATCAACCACTATAATAGTTATACAAAGTGATACGCCAAAAACCACGTTGATAAGGTAAATTCTAAAATATGTTCTAATAGCCCACAAGAGGGCAGGGGGAAGAAAACAAAGAAACAAAAACAGTAAGAACAAATAGAAAATTGAAAATAAAATGGCAGACTTTAGCTCTGACATATCAGTAATTGCATTAAATGTAAATGGTTGGAATACACCAACTGAAGCAAAGAAATTGACAGAATGGGTTTAAAAAGCATGACCAACTATGTGCTGTCTACCAGAAACTTCACTTTAAATATAACAATATAGGCAGATTTGATCTAAAAAGATGGAAAATATATTATGCAAATATTAATAAAAATAAAGCAGTAGTGGACATACTAATGTCAGATAAAGAAGACATCAGAGCAAAGAAATTTACCAGAAATAGAGGGGGACACTATATAATGGTAAAGGAAGACATAGTCATCCTAAACATGTATACCCCAAACAGCAGACCTGTAAAATATGTGAAGCAAAAACTGACAGAATTAAAGGAGAAATAGACCCACAATTAATGTTGAATACTTCAACACCCTCTCTCAACAAATGTCAGAACAACTAGACAGGAAATCAGCAAAGATACAGAGGAACTCAACACCATCGACCAACAGGATCTAATCCATATTTATAAACACCTAGCCAAGGACACCAGAATACACACTCTTTTCAAATGCTCATAGAATATAGACAAGATAGACCACATAAATAAGGCCATAACACAACTGTCAAACCATTTAGAAGTATCAAAATCATACAACAGGGGTTCTCCGACCACAGCGGAACCAAACTAAAAATCAATAACAGAATCTCTTCAAACACTTGGAAACTATGCAACATGCTTCTAAGTAATCCATGGATCAAAGACCAACTCTCAAAGGATATAAAAAAATAAATCGAGCTGAATTGGAAATGAAGAGAAAGCAAGTCAAAATTTATGAGGCACAATTGAAGCAGAGGGGAAAATTTATAAAACAGGTGTTAGAAAAGGAAAAATCTCAAATCATCATGGACAAGAACACCTCAAGAATATAGAAAAAGAAGAGCAAAATACGCCCAATGCAAGAAGATGATGCAGGAGGAAAGAATAAAAATAATAGAAGAACTCAAGGAAATTAAAAACAAAAATAATACAGAAAAAATCAATGAAATAAAAGGGTAGTTCTTTTTTAAAAATTAATAAAATTGACAAACATCTAGCAAGATTGACAAAAATCTTCTTCCCTACCTATTTGAGATTTCAAATATGTTAGCACCAAATCTTTTATATTTTCAAACCTCTCTGCACCATATCTCCCATCAGTTGAGAGGTTTCTTTAAGTGATTGCTTATGTATTTCTATCTTTACCCAGAATTATTGTTTTATCTTGCATAGAGCTAAATTAAGGAAGATTTGTAAGAGGTTCAATTCATCCCTTGAAAATTATTATTTACCCTTCATTTTTAATAAACTTGAAGAATTTTTTTAGTTATAATGGAATGAAAAGAAAACAAACATGTGTAGCATGAAAATAGATATCAACTTGATCAGTTATGCAATAATTATAAGCTAACTAAATGGAATTAAATTTAGATGGTTAACAATGTTTCATAAGTTAAAGTATCACTGCAACTCACTGGTAGTAATCCAGCTAAATTCATCTGAACACAAACTGTCACTTAACATAAGGCCACATTGGCAAAAAGAGCATGGAGCATGGTGTGTTTTTACATTGTTTACCTTTCCATGTTGCGTCCAGAGGAGACCAAAGTTTTGCTACCTAACTATTAAAATTAAGGTGGGCAGTATGATTAAGACGATTCCCAGTGAATGATGGAAACATTCTGTATCTCAAATGAGGCATGGGTTGTATAGAGATAGATCCATTTGTTTAGATGGTGTGGTTAAAACTGGCACATGTCAAATTGTGTAAACATTAACTTAAGAAAAGAACTCTACAAAAGCAAACACTGAATGGGAGACAGAGAGTGGAGGGAAAGGTATAGATGGAACAAAACGAAATGTTGTGAAACTGGATGATGCGTACATGGATATTACGTGGCTTAATTTGCATATGTTGAAATTTTCCATTATAAAAATTTTTTAATGAATTATTCTTTGTGAGATATGTTTATAAAGCAAAGTCAGTTCAACTCTAACAAATCACATCAAAGCAAAAGAGAATAAAACAGAAAAGGATTCTCCCGAAGGAATCTAATGTAATACACTTTTCGTACAAGGGCAATTTCTTCACATACGCAACTGATAGCTTTTGGGGGATACATTAAGATACTATCTTCTTCCTCTCTCTCACAACAACCTATGTTCCCAAAACTATTTCAATGATCTAAACTGAGTTTTACGCATATTATACTGCTAAAAGATTTTGCTTTGAAATGACAGATAACTCAGTAAGCTGTGTTTGAAGAGTCTAGTGGCATTGCAGGCAAAGAAAACGAATAAAGGACTATGTAGATGCCAGGAATGCCATTTAAGCTGGAATCTGAATGTCCACTGAAAAAAGGAAGCATTTAGGATTGAGCTGGAAATAGGCTTGTTTCAGAAAAGAAACTAAACCCATGCGACATGTTCATGATTGTTGGTTTTACTTTATTTGATTTTGTTATTCGTACCCTCAAGGAAGTCTATTCTCAGTAACATCCATCAAGTGAACCATGGAGGCTGGTCACAGTGATCTTACTTTTATTCTTCTGGGAAGATAGAGGTGCTGTTCAACTAAAAAGTTATACATCTGTTCAGAGTCTAGATTTTGCTTAGGCTAATTTATTTTACTGAGAGGCATTTTGAAAAATAGTCTCATTTTCAATCGTCCATCATTTTATCTCTTACCTGAAGGGAATTTTGCTTGAATGCAATTGATTTCACCTCTCAGTCAATATGAAATCAATCTGAAATTAATTATGTTTGGTGTATTTTGTGTTCTTATGTGTGCGCTGGCCCTTTTATGTATTTTTAGGATATTAAGAGATATACTTTCCTATTTATCTGAGCAGAAACTGAAGAGATAGGAATGGATATAGCTATGATGACCCATTATTGAATTCCACAGTATCCACTCAAGTGTAATTCAGCTTTCACACTACCTTATTTGGTCTATATTTAGAGGATTTAGTGTCATCCTTGGTGTGAGAGGATGGTAGAGGTGATTCTTAAATGATTGTTTAATGCCTTGCATTATATTCTTACAAGTTGGATCTTGATCAATTAATATAGGAGGGAAATTTGATTAAAAAGTTACAATAAAATGAACAAGCCTAATAAAATTATGACCAGTTCTACCCATACAAAAATGAAGTGGAATTCTAAAATGCTTACTTAGGACAGATGGTTGATTGATCTTAATTCCTTTTAAAATAATTTCATTTGATTAGATACTTGTATCATAAGTATTTCTTGGCCTCAATTTTCCTCCTAATATAGCCTATTTACTGTGCAGGTGTAACCAAGAAACAAAGTAAGCCTTTTGTTTATGCCATATAATTTAGATAAATGATTGTTTATTTTACCATTGGTGTTGCTAACTTTCATGTTTCATATAGTTTGTTGGGACAATTAAATAGTATACTTCTTGGATTCACAAATTACACTGCTCATCAGAGAAAAATTGCATGGCTAAAGAATAAAAATTGATTATAGGAAGTTTACATTATCTGACGGAGTGACTTGTTATGTTAGTATGCATAATAATCACTTAGGAGAAAGATCGAAGGGCAGATTTTCATAGCACCACAGAGAATTTGATTCAAGATCTGGAGAGGAGCCCAGGAAAAAAATTCCAAGACTCCCAGGTGATTATTTATGTATGTGGCTCACACACTACAGTTGGAGAAACATTGACTCAACCTAAAAGTCTTTATAAAGCTCAGATTTTGGAAATGGTATTGATCAAGCATGCACCCCCTTGAAGTTGTGAATCTGAACACATGGTGGCAGTGCAGGCTAAGAGAGTGAATGAACGCTCTGCAGATTGGGTGGACTCCATTTCACTGAGAGACCCAATAAAAAAATATAGAACACATTTACAGCTAAAGCTAAGAGAGAAGTGTTCAGGAAGATAGTCGTTGCCAGATAAGTTATAAGAAGAAATTCAAAATTCTATACCAAAGACATTTCAGAGGGTGGACTGTCTGTGGACGTGGTGACTGGGAGTGTGGAAAAGGATTTTTTTCCGTCTGGAATCAAGACATAACAATAGAGATGGCGCAAACAAAAATACATCGCAAGAAAAGGCAAGTGGCGATCTTCATTATATTGGTGCTTTTGTGGGAGGCAGGTTCAGAATTGATTCAGTATTCTGTACTGGAGGAGACAGTAAGTGGCACGTTTGTGGCCAACCTGACAAAGGACCTGGGACTCAGGATGGGAGAGCTGGTTGCGCGGAGAGCCCGTATTGTTTTCCAGGGGAATAGACAGCATTTGCAGTTTGACCCACACACCTACGATTTGCTTCTAAATGAGAAACTGGACCGGGAGGAGGTGTGCGGTGCCACTGAGCCCTGTGTACTACCTTTCCGAGTGTTACTGGAAAATCCCTTGCAGTTTTTTCAGGCTGCCTTGCTAGTCAGAGATATAAATGATCACGCCCCGGAGTTCCAGGCCAGAGAAATGCTATTGAAAATATCGGAAATTACTACACCAGGAAAGATATTTCCTTTGAAAATGGCACAGGATTTAGACGCTGGTAACAACAGCCTTCAGAGCTACATCATCAGCTCAAATCCCCATTTCCACGTTGTCACTCGCAGTCGCAGCGATGGCAGGAAGTTCCCAGAGCTGGTGCTGGACAAAGCCTTGGACCGGGAGGAGCAGCCGGAGCTCAGGCTCACCCTCACAGCGCTGGACGGCGGGTCTCCGCCCAGGTCCGGGACCACAGAGATTCAGATTCTCGTTTTAGACATCAACGACAACGCCCCTGAGTTTGCTCAGGAGCTCTATGAAGCGCAAGTCCCGGAAAACAACGCCCTGGGCTCTCTGGTTATCACCGTCTCAGCTAGAGATTTAGATGCAGGATCCTTTGGGGAGGTGTCTTATGCCCTATTTCAAGATGACTACGTCAACCAACCCTTTGAAATGAATGCAATTACAGGAGAAATTCGACTGAGAAAGATGTTGGATTTTGAGGAATTTCAATCTTACCACGTGGATGTTGAGGCTACAGATGGTGGGGGACTATCAGGAAAATGCTCTTTAGTTCTCAAGGTTCTGGACGTGAATGACAACGCTCCTGAACTGACTATGTCCTCACTCAACAGCCCCATCCCTGAAAACCTGCCAGAGATCATGGTGGCAGTTTTCAGTGTATCAGATGCTGATTCCGGACATAACCAACAAGTTATTTGTTCTATAGATGAAAATCTCCCCTTTCTTCTAAGACCATCAGTCGAGAATTTCTACACCCTGGTAACAGAAGGACCCCTGGACAGAGAGAGCCAAGCCGAGTTCAACATCACCATCACCGTCACCGACCTGGGGACACCCAGGCTGAAGAGCGAGCACAGCATCTCCGTGCAGGTGGCCGACGTCAACGACAACGCCCCGGCCTTCGGCCAAAGCGCCTACACCCTGTGGGTCCGCGAGAACAACGGCCCCGCCCTGCACATCGGCAGCGTGAGCGCCACCGACCCGGACTCGGGCGCCAACGCGCAGGTCACCTACTCGCTGCTGCCGCCCGGCGACGCGCGCCTGCCGCTGGCCTCGCTGGTGTCCATCAGCGCGGACACCGGGCAGCTGTTCGCGCTGAGGCCCCTGGATTTCGAGGCGCTGCGCGCCTTCGAGTTCGGCGTGGGCGCGGCCGACGGCGGCTCGCCGGCGCTGAGCAGCCGGGCGCTGGTGCGCGTGCAGGTGCTGGACGCCAACGACAACGCGCCCGTCGTGCTGTACCCGCCGCAGAACGGCTCTGCGCCCTGCACCGAGCTGGTGCCGCGCGCGGCCGACGCGGGCTACCTGGTGACCAAGGTGGTGGCGGTGGACGGCGACTCGGGCCAGAACGCCTGGCTGTCGTACCAGCTGCTCAGGGCCACGGAGCCCGGGCTGTTCGGCGTGTGGGCGGCCAGCGGCGAGGTGCGCACGGCCCGGCAGCTGAGCGAGCGCGACGCGCCCAGGCACAGGCTGGCGGTGCTGGTGCGCGACCACGGCGAGCCGCCGCTGTCGGCCACCGTCACGCTGCACGTGCTGCTGGTGGACGGCTTCTCGCAGCCCCACCTGCCGCGGGCCGAGGCGGCGGCCGAGCAGGCGCGGGCCGAGCCGCTCACCGTGTCCTTGGTGGTGGCCCTGGCGGCGGTGTCGTCGCTCTTCCTGCTGTCGGTGCTGGGCGTCGTGGCGGCGCGGCTGTGCGCGAGGGCCCGGGCGGCGTCTGCGGGGGGCTGCTCGGGGCCCGGGGGCGGCCTTGCGGGCCACCTGGTGGACGTGAGCGGCGGCGGGACGCTGTGCCAGGCCTACCGCTATGAGGTGTGCCTGTCGGGAGGCTCGGGGACCGGCGAGTTCAAGTTCCTCAAACCAATTCTCCCCAGCTTCCCTCCTCAGGACACTGGGAGAGAAATGGAGGAAAACCTCAGTGTTCGGAATAGTTTCCCATTCAGTTAAGTATTGGATTATTCTATTAAGCTCTACTTCATATGTTTGGAAATCTCTTTTAATTTGAAGTTGCATGTTATTGATGCATGTTATTTATGATCTGTTTCTTGAATATTTTTTTATCATTCCTTAGAATGACATTTTCAAAATCATATACTGGGAATATGTATTTTCTCCATGTTGCACTCAGTAGTTTTTTATTACTCTCAAATATTTGGCAATATGAATACAATTTTTTATTTTATTTGCATAATTAAGAGTTCTTGAAATTCAATCTATCCTTTTTACAAAAATGATATTCCAAAGCACTTAAGTAAGTTGTATTTCTAACTATTAGTGACAATTGTCACTATTGCTATGTAGGGAAAATTTTTTAAATCTGGGTTGGTATTATTTAATTACCAATGTAAGTCTCATTTTGGGGTAACTCCTACAGTGTGAAAAATGAAACACTAAAGATGGATAAATGCTAAGATAGCTATTCATATTTATGTCTATTTCAGTATACCATAATCATCAATACATATTTTCTATGAATATACATACAAAAAGGTTGATACATTAAGTTACAGTTTGTGAGCTTCATGTAAGAATATGATGGTTTTTAAAAAATAATACCATGCCAATTATAAATACTTAAACAGTTGTTGAATGTTATTAACATTCCAATAATGAATTTAAATAATAATTTTCAAGGAACACAGAAATGCTAATATTCTCTCTACATTATTGGTACTTTTGCCAATAATGGAACTTCAATATCACTCCTTGATTTTCCTTCTAAACAGAAAACAACCCCACTCACCTTAAACCATATTACAGAATATGAAGTGCTTGAGAGTACATTTTATTTCCCTTTCTTTGTATAACAATTTGAAAGATATTGCTTAGTGAAGTCCAAATTATATTTTTCAAACTCCTCCTTGTTTTTCAAGTTCTATATGTGTGCTACCTGCCAAGATCTAAGTCTGTTATTAGTGGCAGCTTATTAGGTAAAGATCAGATTGTCCCTTCTAGTGCTGTGTAAGCATCATTTATCTTTATTAACCATAAAGTCATTTGCTTTTACAGTTTAACCCATATTTGATCTTATTTGTGTTGGTCACATTTGTAGCAGTTTATGAAAAATGTCTCTTCAATTTCCCATCAAGGTCAGGCAATTTATACTAAAGTTATGAGTGAATATTTTATTTTTATCTTTAATAAAATAGAACTGGTCTTAACTATATTATATTTGGCTGTGGTTTGTGCCCAAATAAGTAAACTGCCATGATGGGTTACCAATTGGTTCACTGAGTGTAGGGAACACTTTCTGTTTTGTATTCTCAGATGGTTTACCCTCTCCTCCTTGAAATAACATTCTTTTGGGGGGAAACAGCTTCTCCTGCCATTCTCACTCCAATCACATGGCTGTAGTTGGTGCAGTGGTGTTTCTCAATACACCCATCTTTACAGTCCCAGAGCATCTACACTTAGATGGGCCCCTGTCCAAAGCTGATGGGTCAGAAACCTTCCCTTGTAAGTATATCTTTGACTCCATTGACCGTGTTGCCTCATGTTTGTAAAAAGGCAATGAAGACAATGCCTGAATACTGAGCTTATACTGGTTTCTAATACAACAAATGGCAATTTCCTCTCACCTTTATGGGCACCCCACTGTGAATTTATTAAGAAAAAAATTCCCAAAGTCTGTGTTGCCCAGAGGCTGACAGAAAATCACATCTTAGCTTTTTTTCAGGAGTTAACAGGCACACTGCAATTTGGAAGTAGAAAGTGGATTTAAAAATTCATAACTTCTAATACAATAGGACAAATTAGTGATTTTCTGGCAATCTAATGTAAGCTTTTGGGAGCAAGAATGGTTGTGTTTAATTTACTATTTTATCTTCAGAAGCTAGAAAAAAATGCCTGCACAGAGAAATACTGGTTAAGTGAATTTGTCTTCAGCAGAGTTTTGTGGACTGAACTTGCATCTTTTTAAATAAGACGAATATAGATATAGATATACAGGTATTAATTTTTCTCTCACAGTTATTGTTAGCTACCTGGACAGCACTGCACGATAGGTGGTGATGGTTATAACACTTTGACTCCGAAGACTTTCAATGTGTTTTCAGCTGTACGCTTTGAAATGAAAAATACCTGAAGTTGTAACGTAGGACGCTTGGTGGCGCTGTAGGCTAAGAGAGCGAAAAAAGCTATCTGCGGACTCCTTAAAAGCCGAGCTGTTTCTGGCAGCTGGAAAGGAAACATATTACACTACTGGGGATAGAAGGTTTCTGAGAGGCAGCTATCCCCACGTCAGTCAATGTTCAGACTACCTAACTCAAGATTATCGAACCAAGATAGCCGAATCAGCTGCAAAGCACTTATTTTGTGATTAAATTCTGTATGTTTTGGACCCAGAGGAACGATGGAGACGCTGCTTCCCAAAGCGCCACAGAAAAGGCAAGTGACCGCCATTATTATCCTATTACTATTGTGGGAGGCGGGCGGCGCAACCATTAACTATTCTATTCTAGAAGAGAGGGAGAGCGGCTCTTTCGTGGCCAACCTAGCAAGAGATCTGAGGTTGGGCTTAGGGGAGTTAGCCGCGCGGGGAGCTCGGATTCTTTCCAAAGGAAATAAACAGCATTTGCAGCTCGAGCAGAAGAGTGGAAATTTACTTCTAAAAGAAAAATTGGACCGGGAAGAGTTGTGTGGTGATATAGATCCATGTATACTGCATTTCCAGGTGTTACTGAAAAACCCGGTGCAGTTTATTCAAGGTGAACTGCAGCTGCAAGATGTAAATGACCATGCACCAGAATTCTTGGAAAATGAAATCCTCCTGAAAATCTCTGAAAGCAGCCATCCAGGGACTGCATTTCCTTTGGAAATAGCTCAAGATTTAGACGTGGGCAGCAACACAGTTCAGAACTACACAATTAGTACCAACTCCCATTTCCACCTCTCCACTCGCAATCACAGCGACGGCAGGAAATACCCTGAACTGGTTCTCGACAAAGCGTTGGACCGTGAGGAGCAGTCCGAGCACAGGTTAACCCTCACGGCGTGGGATGGTGGGTCACCGCCTAGGACTGGGACTTCCCAGGTCCTCATTATAGTCCTGGACATAAATGACAACGCTCCTGAATTTGCTCAGCTGCTCCACGAGGTGCATGTCCCAGAGAACAGCGCCATAGGCTCCCTTGTCATCACTGTGTCCGCTATAGATTTAGATTCTGGGACCCACAGCGAGCTCTCTTACTCATTTTTCCAATCCTCAAATCAAATCGTTCAGGCCTTTGAAATAAACGCAGTCACAGGAGAAATTCGATTAAAAAAATTGTTGGATTTTGAGGAAATTCGATCATACCGAATGGAGATTGAAGCCTCAGACGGCGGAGGTCTTTCAGGAAAATGCACCGTAGCCATACAAGTGATGGATGTGAACGACAACGCCCCCGAACTGACCATGTCATTGCTCATCACTGAGATCCCAGAAAACTCCCCTGACACTGTGGTGGCTATTTTTGGAATTTCAGATCCAGATTCTGGGGACAATGGCAAATTGACCTGTTCCATCGAAGACCATCTCCCTTTCCTTCTGAAACTTACTGTAGAAAATTACTACACTCTGGTAACGGAGGGACCCCTGGACAGAGAGAGCCAAGCCGAGTTCAACATCACCATCACCGTCACCGACCTGGGGACACCCAGGCTGAAGAGCGAGCACAGCATCTCCGTGCAGGTGGCCGACGTCAACGACAACGCCCCGGCCTTCAGCCAAAGCGCCTACACCCTGTGGGTCCGCGAGAACAACGGCCCCGCCCTGCACATCGGCAGCGTGAGCGCCACCGACCCGGACTCGGGCGCCAACGCGCAGGTCACCTACTCGCTGCTGCCGCCCGGCGACGCGCGCCTGCCGCTGGCCTCGCTGGTGTCCATCAGCGCGGACACCGGGCAGCTGTTCGCGCTGAGGCCCCTGGATTTCGAGGCGCTGCGCGCCTTCGAGTTCGGCGTGGGCGCGGCCGACGGCGGCTCGCCGGCGCTGAGCAGCCGGGCGCTGGTGCGCGTGCAGGTGCTGGACGCCAACGACAACGCGCCCGTCGTGCTGTACCCGCCGCAGAACGGCTCTGCGCCCTGCACCGAGCTGGTGCCGCGCGCGGCCGACGCGGGCTACCTGGTGACCAAGGTGGTGGCGGTGGACGGCGACTCGGGCCAGAACGCCTGGCTGTCGTACCAGCTGCTCAGGGCCACGGAGCCCGGGCTGTTCGGCGTGTGGGCGCCCAGCGGCGAGGTGCGCACGGCCCGGCAGCTGAGCGAGCGCGACGCGCCCAGGCACAGGCTGGCGGTGCTGGTGCGCGACCACGGCGAGCCGCCGCTGTCGGTCACCGTCACGCTGCACGTGCTGCTGGTGGACGGCTTCTCGCAGCCCCACCTGCCGCGGGCCGAGGCGGCGGCCGAGCAGGCGTGGGCCGAGCCGCTCACCGTGTCCTTGGTGGTGGCCCTGGCGGCGGTGTCGTCGCTCTTCCTGCTGTCGGTGCTGGGCGTCGTGGCGGCGCGGCTGTGCGCGAGGGCCCGGGCGGCGTCTGCGGGGGTCTGCTCGGCGCCCGGGGGCGGCCTTGCGGGCCACCTGGTGGACGTGAGCGGCGGCGGGACGCTGTGCCAGGCCTACCGCTATGAGGTGTGCGTGTCGGGAGGCTCGGGGACCGGCGAGTTCAAGTTTCTGAAGCCAATTATGTCTAATCTGCAACCCCAGAGCACAGGGAAGGGAGTGGAAGAATATCCCTCATTTCGGAATGATTTGGGTTTGTGATAAAGAAAAAATAAATGCTGATATTGTATCTGAATATTTCTATTAAGAAATCTGAGTTACCTGTAGAGAAGTTCTCTCTCATTATTTCAAGTATTCTTAAAGTCACAGAATAAATTTCTTTACACAGAACAGGAGGCAGCTTTAGCCCTAAGAATCTTCCACAAAGCATGGAACATATATGCATCATATTTTATCTCGATTAATCATTTTGTGTAGAAAAATCTTGAGATGTTTTAAATCGGTTTTCAGTGTCCTTAATCTTTATTTCTACTTCTATTATCTAAGTTGATTATTGTTGTACTAGGCCTACCTAAGTTTTATAAGCACAGATTGTAGGGTATCTTTTTTAAAAGCTTTTTGAGAAGCACTTATTATGCATCATACACTATTTTAACACTTTAATCTTAGAAGTAAACTTGTGAGGGAAGGTATTTTTGAAATGATCAAATAGATGTAAATAGAGGATGGTAACTATGGTCACCAACTAATAAATGGCAGAGGTGAACATCTCATCTAGATCAGGTTGACACTGAGACCTTGCTATGATTCTGTACTGTTTTCTGTCATTTGATACCAGTGGCAAGTTTCTTCCTAATTAAGGAGAAGAAATCTTTCCCTCATATTCATATTACTGTTCAATATTTTCTTTACTTGAAAATAATAATGTGTATTGGTCTGTGGCTTTATTTTCTTATAAAACCATAATCCGTCTTTTCTGGATCAATTATTCAACTCAAGTAAAAAAAATTGAAAGGTCAGTCCACTTTCTTCTTGATGTCTGAACATACGACCTTCATTTTAGAGAAAAGGGTAATAGCTCTGAATAAATTTGATTGCTTCATCGTAGTCCCTACCTACCTTTTTAAACACATTTCTGTCCTCTAATTTAATTTTTTAAGTTTCCTATTCAGTATATTACAGTGTTGCAGAAAGTATAACGAAAATAAGTTTTAAATATGTAATATTAAAGAGATACAAATTATCATTAAATTACTTAGAGATTCTGGGAAGTTAAGGAAAAGCTTTGTTAAAATAATCTGTAACTGCTTTTTCTTGAACAACTATTGAGATAATTTTTGCATAGCTATATTCTGAATATATTATAAGCTAGTGGTAGCTCTTAGAATAGTAGAATTACTGGGTATTATTAATGGGATATAGGGACAAAAAAGCCCACACAGCAATAAAATGTTTAATTGTTTTCATAGTGTCAGGATAAAATCTAGTTTTTCTAACAAATCAATGATGTGGAAAAAGGGATGAAGGGATTTTACACATTGAAAGAAATTAAGAGACATACCAACCAAATGTAATGTGTGGTGGAGTGTTTGGATCTTTATTCAGACAAGCATAACAACTTTGAAAGAATTGGAGACATTTGAATATAGATGGATATTAATTATTAACCTTATTTCTTAGCTGTAGAATGTAGTTGTTTTTTAAAGTCACTATAAGTTAGAACTGTATAATGAAGTATTTATGGGTGCATTTTAGTTTGGTTTGTGAAAATGTTGTAAACAGAGTGAACAATTATGGCAAAATATTGATAATTATTGAAGCTAGATATGTGTATCTGGGGGTTTGTCATACTATTCTTTATAGGGTTTGAATTGACACTGTACAAAGAGAAGTGAAGTTAACAAAAGTAGGACCACTGCTGTCACAGATTATACCTCTATTAGACAAACTCTCCAGCCTGTCTTTGTTTCAACATTTGACTTGATAACCTCTATTTGAGATAATCCTGCTCAGGCATTCTTGTACCACATGAACCTTGAGTGTTTTTCTAGTTATAGAAATGGACTCATGAAAACGGAGCTACTTCCTGGCATCAAATTACAAACCTGGCACATGTCTGTTTATGTGTATGTGTGTGTATGTGCGCAAGTATCTGTATGAGGTTAATCTTTCTCTGCTTTAGTTTCCTCAGCTGCTAAGGTGGAAAATTCACAGCAGCCCCATCTGGGAGATACTATTATTATCTACCTTAAAGATGAGGAAACTGAGACAGACATTAAATAATTTGTCTAAGGATAGATACTAATTATTCCCATACTTCATGACAATAAAAGTTCAGAATTCCAAAACTTTTAAATGTTACTTTAATCATATATATTTTTTAATTCCTGCATAAATTCTTCTCAGCCAGGTTTTTTACATAAATATTTCCTTTCCGCTCCAAACTCACTTACCATTATTGAAAGTGGGAAGTCCCTACTAATGTCATTTCTCTTGCGTGGCCCTCAGACAACTGTCTGCACTCTAAGTACCAGCGATTGTAAAAGTGGTGCTCCGGAATGCATACACACAGCAAGAATTAGGAATATTGCATCTATTTCACCTCAAAAGATGTAAGATCCTATTGAGGACGCCTGGTGGCGCTGCAGGATAAGACGGTAGAAACCGGAACCGCAGCTGCGGCTCTTTAACTGGAAACATTTAGAGGTAGAACCTGGAAGCCCACGGGGAAGCTCGGGTGCCTCGGCCAGAGAGTGGGTCCTCTGAGAAGGACTATCCTCCGGAACATTTCTGAGGTATCCTGTGGAACAGCTCCAGTCTCAGATACTAAAGTCTTTACGTTCAGTGGAGTCAGGTTCACAGGAGCAAGAGCAATGGAGGCCAGCGGGAAGTTCATTGGCAGACAAAGGCAAGTCCTTTTCTTTTTTTTCTTGGGCTTATCTCGGGCGGGCTTGGAACCTAGGCGCTATTCCGTGGTGGAGGAAACTGAGGGGAGCTCCTTTGTTACCAATTTAGCCAAAGACCTGAGTCTGGGTCAGAGAGAACTCGCCAGCAGGGGCGGTAGGGTCATTTCCAAAGGGAACAAATTGCATTTGCAGCTTGATCAGGAGACTGGGGATCTGTTTCTAAATGAGAAACTGGACCGCGAGGAACTGTGCGGTCACACAGAGCCCTGTGTGCTGCGTTTTCAGATGTTGCTAGAGAATCCCTTAGAGTTTTTTCAAGCCGAGCTACAAGTAATAGACATAAATGACCATGCCCCGGTGTTCGTGGACAGAGATATATTGCTAAACATATCAGAGAGCAGTCATCCTGGGACTACTTTTCCACTGAAGAATGCTCAAGACATGGACGTAGGTCTAAATAATATTGAAAACTATATAATCAGCCCCAATTCCTATTTCCGGGTCCTCACGCGCAAACGCAGCGACGGCAGGAAGTATCCCGAGCTGGTGCTGGATAAAGCGCTGGACCGGGAGGAGGAACCTGAGCTCAGGCTGACCCTCACCGCTCAGGATGGCGGTTCTCCACCGAAGTCTGGCACTGCTCAGGTCTACATTGAGGTCGTGGACATCAACGATAACCCCCCAGAATTTCAGCAGCCTCTGTACAGGGTACAAGTTCCCGAGGACAGTCTCATAGGCCTCCTAATTGTCACAGTCTCTGCAACAGATGTAGACACAGGAGTCAACGGAGAGATTTCCTATTCTCTTTTCCAGGCTTCAGAAGAGATTAGCAAAACTATTGAGCTCAACTCCATTACAGGAGAGATTCGACTGAAAAACCAACTTGATTTTGAAACTGTTCAGTCCTATGAAGTCAATATTGAGGCCAGAGATGCTGGAGGTTTATCTGGAAAATGCTCCATTCTTATGCAAGTCATGGATGTGAATGACAATTACCCAGAAATCACCATATCTGCATTCACCAGACAGATACCTGAGAACTCGGCCGAGACAGTGGTCGCCGTTTTCACTGTTTCAGATCTTGATTATGAAGAAAATGGAAAATTAAGTTGCTCCATTCAAGGGGATCTACCCTTTTTCCTGAAATCTTCCTTGGACAACTTTTACACCCTAGTGACAGAGAGACCGCTGGACAGAGAGAGCCAAGCCGAGTACAACATCACCATCACCGTCACCGACCTGGGGACACCCAGGCTGAAGAGCGAGCACACCATCTCCGTGCAGGTGGCCGACGTCAACGACAACGCCCCGGCCTTCAGCCAAAGCGCCTACACCCTGTGGGTCCGCGAGAACAACGGCCCCGCCCTGCACATCGGCAGCGTGAGCGCCACCGACCCGGACTCGGGCGCCAACGCGCAGGTCACCTACTCGCTGCTGCCGCCCGGCGACGCGCGCCTGCCGCTGGCCTCGCTGGTGTCCATCAGCGCGGACACCGGGCAGCTGTTCGCGCTGAGGCCCCTGGATTTCGAGGCGCTGCGCGCCTTCGAGTTCGGCGTGGGCGCGGCCGACGGCGGCTCGCCGGCGCTGAGCAGCCGGGCGCTGGTGCGCGTGCAGGTGCTGGACGCCAACGACAACGCGCCCGTCGTGCTGTACCCGCCGCAGAACGGCTCTGCGCCCTGCACCGAGCTGGTGCCGCGCGCGGCCGACGCGGGCTACCTGGTGACCAAGGTGGTGGCGGTGGACGGCGACTCGGGCCAGAACGCCTGGCTGTCGTACCAGCTGCTCAGGGCCACGGAGCCCGGGCTGTTCGGCGTGTGGGCGCCCAGCGGCGAGGTGCGCACGGCCCGGCAGCTGAGCGAGCGCGACGCGCCCAGGCACAGGCTGGCGGTGCTGGTGCGCGACCACGGCGAGCCGCCGCTGTCGGCCACCGTCACGCTGCACGTGCTGCTGGTGGACGGCTTCTCGCAGCCCCACCTGCCGCGGGCCGAGGCGGCGGCCGAGCAGGCGCGGGCCGAGCCGCTCACCGTGTCCTTGGTGGTGGCCCTGGCGGCGGTGTCGTCGCTCTTCCTGCTGTCGGTGCTGGGCGTCGTGGCGGCGCGGCTGTGCGCGAGGGCCCGGGCTGCGTCTGCGGGGGGCTGCTCGGCGCCCGGGGGCGGCCTTGCGGGCCACCTGGTGGACGTGAGCGGCGGCGGGACGCTGTGCCAGGCCTACCGCTATGAGGTGTGCGTGTCGGGAGGCTCGGGGACCGGCGAGTTCAAGTTTCTGAAGCCAGCTATGCCTCATTTCCAGGTCCATTCTCATGGGTCAGAAATAGAGGGAAACACCAACTTTAGGAGTTTCAGTATTCAGTGACAGTAATAGTTTTTCATAATTCAAATATTTAAAACTGATTATAAGTTGAAGGTATCCCTTCCATGCCAACCTATTATTGTTTAAAATCACAGTAAACTTGCTTGAAACTTTTCTTATATTTTCCCATGGTTTTAAAGAATGGCATTTCCGTTTCTTCATTACTCTAACAGGATCGGTGGTCTTAATTCTTGCCTCTCCAAACACTGATGTAGTCAATAGGTCTACAAATCCTTGTTCTGAAATAGCTTAGGTGTGTATTAGGATAAAAAGAAAAACAGTGCAAAATAACTTCTATAAAATCAATTGTATTTCTTTGAATATTTCTTGTTGTTTCTAAGCCATTAGGTGTGTAAGAGCAGAAATGCACTAACACACTAAAGGAAGCCGTATGGTAAGGAAAGAACTGGTACAGTGAAAATCTGGCTCTTGCTTTGCTCTCATAGTACTTATATTTGATGTCTTTTTCTCTTAAGATGGCATAGTAATTGTGCTTCCTTTCATTAATATACCAGCATTATTTTAATGTAATTATTTTAATTGCTTTCTATTTAATTCCACTGGTGTTAAAAAGTGGAAACGCTAAGTCGTGTTTATCCAGTGAGATGAAATAACATGGTAATAAAATGGGCTTTTCTTATTTGAGAAACACTGAGCATCTGTGACATAAAATGCAGTGGTCACCCAATATCCATTCATCTTCTCTAGTCACAGGTCCCAAATTTTATTCAGGGTATTAGTGTGCTTAGTCAAAAGGATACATTTTCCCAGCCTCCTTTGCTAGAATAACTCATTTGACTAGGTTATTGTGTTTGAGATGTATAAACAAATGTTGTAGATTTCCAAGAAGGCTTTTTAAAGAGTGATGCCTCATCTTGGAAGAACCTCTTTTTGTCCTTCTCTGACTGCTCCTTGCTACTTGGAATGTGTAAGTCAGGGCTGGAACACAACCAGCCATGTTGAGACAAAGCAACACTAAGGTTGGAACTATTGGATAAAGACAGTATGATATAAACTTAAGAGATGAGGATCCTTGATGATCATGGAGTCATCGCACATACTTGGATTGCCTACTTCTGAACTTTTAGATCCTGCAGAAACCAATATGAATGATTTAACAGTAAGATTTTTATGAAAATATTATATACATTGAACTATATGGTGAAGTTTACAGATCCTGTGTATAGTTTGATGCAACATATTTTAAAGCTTTTATTTCTTGGGTTCTAATTTAAAGGTATAGAGTGTTTTACACTTATTATCTTTTTAATCTCCAGCCAAACCCTAAGGGAGTTGGCATATTATCCCCTCTTTTCCATATGAGAAAACTGAAGCTTAGAAAGGTTAAGTAATTTCCTCACAGTTCTGAAGTATCAAAAGGAACATTTTGAAGTATATATGTTAAGTCCACTTGAATGGAATGGCTTGGTTCCTAATCCATATCCTATAATGGGAGGCATTAACTGGTAGCATCGTCTTCCTAACTAGAAGTGAAATCCGTATCTTCCATGAACTGAACTGCTGTGCAAAAATGTGACTTTTTATCTATAATTTGTATTTATTTCTATACTAATGAGGCCACACTCCTCTGGACCAATAAACCCTAAGTTCTTTGAGAAGCAGTGACCTAAGTAGGCTGCATAGGACACCACAATTAATCTTCACCATAGACAAATCAGCCTGATTGTCTACCTGTACATCTCAATATATCACATTCATTGCAGAAATAAATGCCTTCAAGAGGGAGTAGAGTAACCTTATGGTTGTATTTATTGAATTCCTCATGGAATCTTTCATTTTTTTCTGTCCATCCCAATATATGCATATTTTTGTTTTCTCTAGAAAGTTTAAACTTGCCTTATTATATAATTGTTTTGTCTCTTATTCAAATCAGATATACTGCATTTATTTTATCACACTTTGTTTGAAAGCAGTTATTCTGGTATTTTTAAATGAAATAACTAATTTCAGAAAAGTGTACACAAGGATATGGAGGAGTTTATATTGGTAACTAACTTGGAGATTCTAGAAATTTAATACGAATAAAACTGATAGGTTCCTGTTATTTTCTGTTAATATTAGCCATTCTTTGGAAACTACTCCTAAAAATTATGCTGAATAAAAGATTTGGAGTCATAAAAGACTTTATTCTGGAAGTACAGTTCATTGGAGCTGAATCAGACATTCTTCAGCATTTGCTGTGATAACATTATTCTTGTAGAGTGATTAATTTCTGTTGACTTAGCTGCTAGGTGCATGAAATCCATGCTCATGTAATGTATTCATTTTCTATTACTGCTATAAAAAGTTACCACGAATGTAGTTGCTTAAAATAATAAAGAGGTATACCTTATAATTCTGTAAGCTGATGTCTGATATGGGTCTTACTGGGTTAAAAATCAAGGTGTAAGCAGGAGTGCATTCCTTTCTTGTGGTTCTAGAGGAGAATCAATTTCTTCCTCCTTTCCAGCTTCTAGATGCTCATGGTCCCCTTCATCCTCAAAACAGCAACATTGTGTCTATTGACCAATTCTTCCACAATCACATATCTCTCTGACCATAGCCAAGCAAATTTCTGTCCCACCTACACACACATAATCCAGAATAATTTTCCCTTCCCAAGGTCCTTGATTTAATTACATCTATGAAAACTCTTTTGCCATGTAAGATAACATATTTACAGAACTTGAGAATTAAAGCACCGACATCTCTGGGTGGATAGCTATTTTTCTGTGTACCATAAATTAGCTGCTTGGAAGAAAATTACCCAGTCTAGTAGTACCACCTGTGGCCAAAGGAAGGCACATGAAGGTCTTATTAACAGATTAGGTGTTTTATCATTGATTAGATGTTTTAATGCCAAAGTATTTAACAAATTTCCAAAAATCTTTAACAAAAATACAGAATTGATAAAGATACTATGAATTTTATTGAAATTCAATTCTAATGATGGAAATGGAAAAAACATGAACAAAAGAATGCAAATCTGATCTGAAACTTGTATCTAGAATATATAAAGAACTTTAACAACTCAATTAAAAAAAGACAACCCCCTTAAGAATGGATGAAGAGATTAATAGATATTTCTCCAAGGAAGACATACAATGGCCAATAGGCACATGAGAAGATGTTCAACATCATTAATCATAAGAGAAACGCAAATCAAAATTACAAGATACCACTTCATGCCCTCTAGGATGGCTAGAATAAAAAAGGCAGGTAGCAGCAAGTGTTGGGAAGATGTGGAAAAACTGGAATGTTGACACACTGCTGGTGGAAATGTAAAACAGTACAGCCACTTTGGAAAACGGTCTGGCAGTTCCTCAATTAAACATAGAGATACCATCTGACCTTAGCAATTCTACTCCTAGAGAAATGAAAGCATATGTCCATACCAACACTTGAATTTGAATGTTTATAACAGTGTTATTCATAATAGTCAAAAGCTGGAAACAACCCAAATGTCCATCAACAGAAGAATGGATAATTGAAATGTGATACACCTGTACAATGGAATATTATTCAGCCATAAAGAGGAATGAAGTAGTGTTAACATGGTACACCTTGGGTGAATCTTGAAAACATACTAAGTGAAAGAATCTAGTGACAAAACTCCAAATATTACATTATTCCATTCATATGGAAGTCCAGAATAGGGAACTCTATAGAGACAGAAAGTAAATTCATTGTTGATTAAGGCTTAGCACAGGAGAGATGGGAGAATAGGATGACAGCCAGGGGGTATGGGATTTGGGAGAGATGAAAATGCTCTAAAATTGACTATGGTGATGGATGCACTACACTGTGAATATACTAAAAACCACTGAATTATATACTTAAGTGAAGTGAATTGTATGGTATATGAATTATTTTTCATTCACTAGTGTCTTAAAAGAACAAAACATAAATTATTCCTGTCATGATTTTAAAAAATCCCAAAGCATGGCAGTCCTAACCTTGAGATGTGCCTAGTTGGGAAATAACTTTCCAATAACTTGAAAAATTTGAAAACTCAGTTCTCAGGCTTATGTTTTGGAAAGAAGATGAAGTAATCTAATCTTTAAGAATGCATTGGTTAAATATTCTCTTTTGAATTGGCACTGATTGCAATTTTGCAATGTCTACTCATTTTTAATTTCCCAAGTGAAAACCATGTGCTTACAAAGCCATTCTCATGTTACTTTGGGAATGTTTTGTCCCTAAGTATATTCTTCTCAGCCTAAATGTTAGATTATTTTATTTAATCAGTAATGCTCTACAGCTTTAAAGAGTCAACAACATAAGTGACAATTTGCTCTTTGTACTCCTTCCACACAACAGCACAGAAAAAACATGTGAAAATAGAGGTCAGGGTTGGATACAAACACAGTTTTACATTACCTATTTGGTACATTTAGGATTTTTCTTTCCGATGTTAAACCAGAAAATGTAAGATGTAGTGAGAACACATGGTGGCGCTGCAGGTTAAATGATGGAAAACAGAATTGTCCAGGCAGTTCCAGTATCCAGCCAGTTCCACACTGCCTGGAAGCTAAAGAATAGCTCTCAGCCAGAGCCAAAGTGAGTGTGAAACCTCTTTCAAACTCTATATAGTGGCATAATTTTGACATTCTGGACTCCAGGACTGGGCTACTGAGATCCTGGGCACACATGAAGCTCTTGTGAACCACAATTTCAGAAAGAGCAATGGAAATTGGATGGATGACCAGTCTGAGACAAAGGCAAGTCCTAGTTTTCTTTGTTTTGCTGAGCGTGTCTGGGGCGGGAGCCGAGTTAGGGCTCTATTCAGTAGTGGAAGAAACGGAGAAAGGTGCCTTTGTGGCAAATCTGGGAAAAGACCTAGGGTTGGGGTTGGCGGAGATGTCCACCCGCGCGGCTCGTATCATTTCTCACGGGAACAAAGAGCATTTGCAGCTCAAGGTTCAGACTGGGGATTTGCTCGTAAATGAAAAACTAGATCGAGAGGAGCTATGTGGTCCAACCGAGCCTTGCATAGTACATTTCCAAGTGTTAATGGAAAAACCCTTAGAGGTATTTCAGGCTGAACTGAGAGTGCAAGACATAAATGACCATTCTCCAGTGTTCGCTGAAAGAGAAATGATTCTAAAAATACCGGAGAACAGTCCTCTAGGAATCGCATTTCCTCTGAGTAATGCTCTGGACTTGGATGTAGGAAACAATAATGTTCAGAACTATAAAATCAGCTCCAACTTCCATTTCCGGGTTCTAACCCGCAGTCGCAGCGATGGCAGAAAATACCCTGAGCTGGTGTTGGACAAAGAGCTGGATCGGGAGGAGAAGCCTGAAATCCTATTAACCCTGACGGCACTGGATGGCGGCTCTCCGCCTCGGAATGGGACGGCCCAGGTGCGCGTTGAAGTGGTAGACAGCAACGATAATGCCCCGGAGTTTGGGCAATCTCTCTACAAGGTGCATGTTCTGGAAAACAGCCCAGTAGGCTCCCTGGTGGTCACTGTCTCTGCCAGCGATTTAGACAGTGGAGTTAATGGAAAAATATCATACACATTCTTTCAGCCTTCAGAAGATATTACCAGAACTTTGGACGTAAATCCTATGACAGGCGAAATTCGGCTGAGAAAACAACTAGATTTTGAAACAGTTCTGTCTTATGAAGTGGACATCAAGGCCACTGATGGCGGAGGTCTCTCAGGAAAATGCACTTTCCTCCTGCAGGTGGTGGATGTCAACGATAATCCCCCACAAGTGACCATATCTGCACTTACTAGCCCAATCCCAGAGAACTCTCCTGATGTTGTAGTTGCTGTTTTCAGTGTTTCTGATCCTGATTCCGGAGAAAACGGGAAGACTATTTCCTCCATCCAGGATGACCTTCCTTTCTTTCTAAAACCTTCAGTCAAGAACTTTTACACTTTGGTAACGGAGAGAGCACTAGATAGAGAAGAAAGAGCCCAGTACAACATCACCATCACCGTCACCGACCTGGGGACACCCAGGCTGAAGAGCGAGCACACCATCTCCGTGCAGGTGGCCGACGTCAACGACAACGCCCCGGCCTTCAGCCAAAGCGCCTACACCCTGTGGGTCCGCGAGAACAACGGCCCCGCCCTGCACATCGGCAGCGTGAGCGCCACCGACCCGGACTCGGGCGCCAACGCGCGGGTCACCTACTCGCTGCTGCCGCCCGGCGACGCGCGCCTGCCGCTGGCCTCGCTGGTGTCCATCAGCGCGGACACCGGGCAGCTGTTCGCGCTGAGGCCCCTGGATTTCGAGGCGCTGCGCGCCTTCGAGTTCGGCGTGGGCGCGGCCGACGGCGGCTCGCCGGCGCTGAGCAGCCGGGCGCTGGTGCGCGTGCAGGTGCTGGACGCCAACGACAACGCGCCCGTCGTGCTGTACCCGCCGCAGAACGGCTCTGCGCCCTGCACCGAGCTGGTGCCGCGCGCGGCCGACGCGGGCTACCTGGTGACCAAGGTGGTGGCGGTGGACGGCGACTCGGGCCAGAACGCCTGGCTGTCGTACCAGCTGCTCAGGGCCACGGAGCCCGGGCTGTTCGGCGTGTGGGCGCCCAGCGGCGAGGTGCGCACGGCCCGGCAGCTGAGCGAGCGCGACGCGCCCAGGCACAGGCTGGCGGTGCTGGTGCGCGACCACGGCGAGCCGCCGCTGTCGGCCACCGTCACGCTGCACGTGCTGCTGGTGGACGGCTTCTCGCAGCCCCACCTGCCGCGGGCCGAGGCGGCGGCCGAGCAGGCGCGGGCCGAGCCGCTCACCGTGTCCTTGGTGGTGGCCCTGGCGGCGGTGTCGTCGCTGTTCCTGCTGTCGGTACTGGGAGTCGTGGCGGCGCGGCTGTGCGCGAGGGCCCGGGCGGCGTCTGCGGGGGTCTGCTCGGGGCCCGGGGGCGGCCTTGCGGGCCACCTGGTGGACGTGAGCGGCGGCGGGACGCTGTGCCAGGCCTACCGCTATGAGGTGTGCCTGTCGGGAGGCTCGGGGACCGGCGAGTTCAAGTTCCTCAAACCGGTTCTCCCTCATCTCGGGTCCCAGAGCACGGGGAAAGAAGTGGAAGAAAATCCTTCCTTTCAGAATTTCAGGATTTAATTATTGATAGCAGCCTATTTAAGTAAGACATTAACCTCTAATATTTTTCTGTTGACTAAATTGTTTTTGTTTATCGCCACAAATAAGATGTTTAATTTTCTCTATTTGGTTCATTCTCACTTTCCAACTTTATTCTTAACTTCATAAATTACCTTTTCCATATATTTAGCCAATTAAGCATTTCTCAGTAGAATCCCAATGATTTTATGCTTTACCTTAAAAGTTGATATTACTGAACGTTTCCACTTTATAAATGTCTATATTGACTTTGTATTTGCAGTTCTCCTTTCCCTTAAATATTAGGATAATCAGTTGCATGTAATCTGTATATTGGTATTTTATATTTCTTCTATTTTCCTTTCAAAATTGGTATTTTTGTTGGTTTATCATCCTTGATTTTCATTATAGCAAATTCTCAAACTCTATTAATTTTTTTCAAAGTTCTATTTTCCTTGCATTGGCATCTGCGTATTTAAAACATATTTCTGTCATGTAATATGATAAATCTCTAATCAGCCTCCTCTGAAAATGAGAAGAAACACCATTGTAAGATTGAGTGTGTATGTGCTTAAGTTTGGAGACAAAAATAGTGAAGTTTAGTAAAGTATTGTATCATGTAGAAATGTTTAACATCTTGTTGCTCTTACTTCTCTATAACAAAATCTAAGATCTCATGTTAAGTTTTTAATGCCCAGTGACGCAATCTCATTCATTTAAAAAACAACAGAAGTCATCAAACAGAAGTGTGTTTGGTGTGGCTTTTACATTCAACAATGAGTGCTTTTTAAAGTATCTCATTATTTATCTATACAATATCCTTCAATTTAATATGAATCCCCTGATTATTATGGGACAAATATATCCTCTTTCTAGATACTAGGGCTTCGGATAAAATTCTATATGAGGCAGATGTTATAAAGCTGTTCTTACTTTCAGTAGTGTTCAGATGTCATTAGTGTGGTCTATTTCTTACCTCCCTTTACTTGGTGGTGAGAAGTTGAGTCCTACTAGATTCTAGTGAAGAGGAACCTTAAAATGATGGTCAGCAGATTCTTTAATTATGCAAGTAAATTTGTAGGCTAATATAAGAAAAACATAGGCATGTGAAAGAGAACAGAAATTGCAAAGAGTAAGTGAAAGAATACAATTATCAAATGGTAAGGACTTAAAGACACTGAAAATTGTTTCATAGCCTACTCACTTGAGCTTATTTATACATGCTTTATTTAATACAGCAAGCATTTGGTGACATGTCTGATTTGTCAACCAGTGATAACTAAGACATAGTTTCTTTCCTTAGGTAGGGACATACTGGCATGAAGAAGGGACAGATTGGATGAAACAAGAAGCTATAATATTTATAGGGCAATTACACAAGTTTTTATGGGAGCATGGAGAGGGATAGTCTAAATGCATCCTTCTGGATCATGAAGTGATAATTCTATGTAGGCAATATAATTAGATTTTGAAGAAATTTGTTGAAGAAGGTGTAAAACAAGTTTCTTTGGTCAGTTTTTGGTTTTCTTATGCCCAATGCTTTTGGGAAAGTAAAATCTATTATTTAGTGATCCAAGGTTACTAGAATTTTCTCTTTGGTCCCTGACATGGCATGGGAGTAGTGTCAGGAGTGAAAGCCCTAGTACAGAGCTAAATCCTGCACAATGAAGAGGATAGGGATTCACTACTAGATACATTCCTTTTCCAACTGTTGGATTTTCAACTTTCCCCATGATAAGTCTCAACAATGTGAACAGCTCTCTATCTTAACATTAATTTTTAGAAGACAAACAAAAGAAAAGAAAAATGATATATTTAAAATGAACCACTAAAGAAGAAATTTGTATACACACACAAAAACTGGGTTACAGCTGCTTGAGTCTGTTGGAGGCCACGCGGTGGCGCTGCAGGTTAAAGAGATAAGGGGGAAAATTGACCTGAGAAAGCTGCGGAAGTCACTAACAGGAAAGGAAGATCTGGGCAGGTTGGCTGGGAGAAAAGCCATTGCAGCTCAAAACTGGGAAAGGAAAGGAAACGCAGACCTTTGATACTTACTACGTGGCGTAGGTCTGAGATTTGCTTCAGCTGTTTATGCCGGGAGCTGTGACTGTGACCAATATTTATGAAAGACGTGTTCTGAAGAAGCTATGGAGGCTGCAGGGTTGTACTGCTGGAGACAAAGGCAAGTCCTGTTTCTCTTTCTGTTTGGGGGAGTATCCTTGGCAGGTTCTGGGTTTGGACAATATTCGGTGTTAGAGGAAACAGAGAGAGGATCCTTGGTGGTCAATCTGGCTAAAGATCTAGGGCTAGGGGATCAGGAGCTGGTCGCAAGGGGACCCCGGGTGGTGTGTGATGATAACAAACAACACTTGCTCCTGAATTCTCAGACTGGGGATTTGCTCACGAATGAGAAACTGGACCGGGAGAAGCTGTGTGGCATCACAGAGCCCTGTATGCTGTATTTCCAAATTTTAATGGATAAACCCTTTCAGATTTACCAGGCTGAGCTGAGGGTGAGGGATATAAATGATCATTCACCAGTGTTTCAAGACAAAGAGATGATCTTAAAAATATTAGAAAATACAGCTGAAGGTAAAGTATTTCGACTAGAAAGAGCACAGGATTCAGATGGAGGACTTAATGGTATCCAAAACTACACCATCAACCACAACTCCTTTTTCCATATTAAAATTAGTGACAATGATGGCATTATATATCCAGAACTAGTGTTGGACAAGGCGCTGGATCGGGAGAAGCATCACGAGCTCAGTTTAACACTCACGGCACTGGATGGTGGGTCTCCCCCCAGGTCTGGGACCACCATTATACGCATTGTGATCCTGGACATCAATGACAATGCTCCACAGTTTTCTCAGGCCATCTATGAGACCCAGGCTCTGGAGAACAGCCCAGTAGGGTCCCCTATTGCGAAAGTCTCTGCAGGAGATTTGGACTCTGGAGTGAATGCAGACATATCCTATTCATTTTTTGATGCTTCTGAAGATATTCGAACAACCTTTCAAATCAATCCTTTTTCTGGGGAAATCGTTCTCAGATTATTGCTTGATTACGAGCTAGTAAAGTCTTACAAGATAAATATACAGGCAATCGATGGGGGGGGGCTTTCTGCAACATGTACCGTTTTGGTAGAGGTACTGGACACCAATGACAATCCTCCTGAACTGATCGTGTCATCACTTTCCAACTATATTGCTGAGAACTCTCCTGAGACTGTATTGGCTGTTTTTAGGATTAAAGACAAAGACTCTGGACAAAATGGAAAGACAGAGTGCTCCATCCAAGACAATCTCCCCTTCGTCCTGAGGCCATCAGTCGATAATTACTACACTCTGGTAACAGAAGGACCCCTGGACAGAGAGAGCCAAGCCGAGTACAACATCACCATCACCGTCACCGACCTGGGGACACCCAGGCTGAAGAGCGAGCACAGCATCTCCGTGCAGGTGGCCGACGTCAACGACAACGCCCCGGCCTTCAGCCAAAGCGCCTACACCCTGTGGGTCCGCGAGAACAACGGCCCCGCCCTGCACATCGGCAGCGTGAGCGCCACCGACCCGGACTCGGGCGCCAACGCGCAGGTCACCTACTCGCTGCTGCCGCCCGGCGACGCGCGCCTGCCGCTGGCCTCGCTGGTGTCCATCAGCGCGGACACCGGGCAGCTGTTCGCGCTGAGGCCCCTGGATTTCGAGGCGCTGCGCGCCTTCGAGTTCGGCGTGGGCGCGGCCGACGGCGGCTCGCCGGCGCTGAGCAGCCGGGCGCTGGTGCGCGTGCAGGTGCTGGACGCCAACGACAACGCGCCCGTCGTGCTGTACCCGCCGCAGAACGGCTCTGCGCCCTGCACCGAGCTGGTGCCGCGCGCGGCCGACGCGGGCTACCTGGTGACCAAGGTGGTGGCGGTGGACGGCGACTCGGGCCAGAACGCCTGGCTGTCGTACCAGCTGCTCAGGGCCACGGAGCCCGGGCTGTTCGGCGTGTGGGCGCCCAGCGGCGAGGTGCGCACGGCCCGGCAGCTGAGCGAGCGCGACGCGCCCAGGCACAGGCTGGCGGTGCTGGTGCGCGACCACGGCGAGCCGCCGCTGTCGGCCACCGTCACGCTGCACGTGCTGCTGGTGGACGGCTTCTCGCAGCCCCACCTGCCGCGGGCCGAGGCGGCGGCCGAGCAGGCGCGGGCCGAGCCGCTCACCGTGTCCTTGGTGGTGGCCCTGGCGGCGGTGTCGTCGCTCTTCCTGCTGTCGGTGCTGGGCGTCGTGGCGGCGCGGCTGTGCGCGAGGGCCCGGGCGGCGTCTGCGGGGGTCTGCTCGGGGCTCGGGGGCGGCCTTGCGGGCCACCTGGTGGACGTGAGCGGCGGCGGGACGCTGTGCCAGGCCTACCGCTATGAGGTGTGCCTGTCGGGAGGCTCGGGGACCGGCGAGTTCAAATTCTTTAAGCCGATTATCCCCAGTATCCAGGCTGAGTGTTCTGGGAGGAATATGGTAGATAATCCCTTCTTGAAATAGATTTTCATTTAATTTTCAGTAATAATTCCTTTTATAGTTTCTTGTAGTTTCAAGTGTTAAACAACCATATCGATATTTAGTTCTAAAACTTCAAGTTAAATTATTGTGGACCATAAAGGCAATATTTATGTATGCTTTTACAATGTTATTTCATCCTTTCCTGCATTAATCAAATTAGCTTTACTTATTACCATATATAAATACTTATGAGGTTTAATTCTGTCCAAATGTGCAAGGATTTAGTTATTCTTTCTCAGTGTAGAAAACGAAGGTTTTGATTTTTCTTCTGGGATGTTTTATGGTCTGCACTTCATAATCCTACCTACCTTGTGCTTCCTTCAAGTAAGATGACATACCTGCACTTTTACCCTTATTCTAACATTGTTTAATCGTGTTAAAAACTATCATCTGACATTTTAAAAGAAGTATTTCTCTATTATTCTGCTCACGATAAATGAAGCAGATCGTTCTGTGAGTGATGTTGGACTCCTGCAATACCTGTATTTATGTCATTTCATTTCCTTTAAACATTCTTAGCTAATATTTTCTAAATGTTCATTTCTGCTAATATATAAAACAAATCTTGTCCCATAATTCAAACAAAATGTAATGACCTGCATGAAAATGACTATAAATAAAAACATTTTTGAAAATTTGTGTGAGAATATTGGCAGACTATTGGAAAGACATTCACTTTTCATTTTAATTTTTAAACTTATTTTAATTGGTATCCAATTTTAAAATCAGGATTAACTAAAAATCATGAAGAAAAACAATATATTATTCAATCTCTAACTCCTTTCTACAGAGTGGTTTCCCTAGAATTGACCTCAGTATTTCTAATTATTATGTTTATACTGCTGTATCTTAATATTTGATTTTATACTTTGATCACATCTTCCTATGGAAAAAAAAGAATTTAAATTTCTTACTTTACCATTAACATATATATAAGCATTCCACATTCTCTTTTTTCTGTTCTCCCAATAGAGTCATCATGGTTTTTTAAAAACTGGTAGTTTTTGTCTATATTGCTAAGAGTACTTCGAAATACACATTACTGCAGTATGATTATATTTTTCTTGAAAAACTTTTTTCCTAGAGCTGATAACTGTTTTTACTTGCATCATTTTCTCTATTTACTGGTATTGACTTTTCCTATTATCTCACATTTGAATATCAGTTCTCCTTAAATATTAAAAAATGTCAGATACTTATTAATTATATTTATTTCCTAGAAATCTTTCACCCATACCACTCTGTATCTCTGATTCATTTACACTAGTTACTATGTAGGCTGTCACCCTAGGACTTTTTTTTTTCTTTAATATTTTCTTTCCTTTGTTGGTCTACTTTTACAAGATCCAGTATTTTCTTTGTTAGTTTACTCCCTTGTTTAGTTGATGTACATCTCTCAATACCTTCATAAAAATGGAAACAGGGATGTAAAATATTTGGAGACCTTGCCTTGTAAAGGTATCTCCTTTTTCTTTTCAGTTGATTGTTAGTTTGACTAGGTATAAAATTCTAGGTTGAAAATAATTTTCCCCCAGATTTTGAAATCAGTATTCCTTTTGTGTATTGAATATAGAGTTGCTTTTCAGAAGACTGATTCATTCTGAAGCTTTTCTTTTTGTGTCACCTTCTTTTTTTACATTCTGGAAGATTTGGAAAAATTATCTTCATATTTTGAAAATACATTAGTGGCAGTTTAATAATTTGATCACATGGATGTACTCAGTTTTAAACTCTCACTTTGACTTCTGAGAAATTTTCTTCAGTTTTCATCATAATTTTTCCTTTTGAATTTTCTATAGTCTCACGTTAAACAGAATCTCATTAGGTAAATATTGGATCTTCTGGATTGGTTCTCTAAGACTCTAAAAATTATTTTTCTTTCTTATTTTCTCTTTTTTTGTTTTACTTTTTAGACAAATAATTTTATTATTCAAGCTTTAAGTTTTTCTTTTTGGCTGACAAATATTTTTAAGAGTTCTTGTTGGTTCTTTGAGTGTTTTTCATGGCATCCTGTTATGAGGTGTGCCTCTTGGACGCAAATAGATTTGCAATTGTATATTTTTTTCATCTATAATTAATAGATTTATTATTTTTAAATGCATTTTCCAAAAAGTGCATTATACAGTGAAAACACTATTACAATCATTTTTAAAATAAAGTGGATCACAGGGAAGTTAAGAACTTGGCCAAGGTTGTATAGCTAAGTAAGGGGCACTTAAGCTGTAATGTATTCTTTTTTAATAAGATACATGCTTCATACAGTTACTGTTAAGATTGAATGTGTAAACACATAAGTGGCACTTAGAACAATGGGTAGCATGAGTAAATATTCAATAAGTGTTAGTTTTTTATTAAATGTTACTTATTAACCAGACATTTTAAAAAGACTTTCTTCTCTTTATTATAAATGCTTCCTCCTGTTCCTTTTTGTTTTGTTTTATTTTTTGGTGGTGGTGGTTTTGGACCTTCTTTTTTTTTTCTAGACTATGGTAATTTTATTTTTAATATTTTAAGGAACCTCTACATGGCTTTCCATAATGGCTGTACTGTTTCCTTTTACAACAATGTACAAGGTTTCCAATGTTTCTGCATCCTTGTCAACACTTGTTATTTTCTATTCTTTTGATAGTGACCAGACTAATGGGTGTGAGGTGGTTCAGATTTGTATTTCTATTTCTGCTATGATTAGTGATGTTGAACACACCTTTTCATATGTTTGTTGGCCCTTTTTAGATCTTCTTCAGATAATTCTTTGCCCATTTTTTAATTGGGTTACTTTTGTTGTTGTTGAGTTGTGTAAGTACCTTGTGTAAGTATTCTGTAAACATCTTGTGTAAATATATAATTGTGTAAATATTCTGCATATTAACCCCATCAGATATATGGTTTGCAAATATTTTCTTCAACTCTATAAGTTGCCTTTTTACTCTTTTGATTGTTTCTTTTGATATACGGAAGTGTTTAAGTTTGATGTAGTCCCATTTATCTAACTTTGGTTGCCTGTGGTTTTGTTGTTATATTCAAGACACCATGGCCAAACCCAAGGTCTTGAGGCTTCCCCCCAATGTTTTCTTCTAGTTTTATAGTTAAAGCTCTTATGTTTAGGTCTTTAATCCACTTTGAAGTAATTTTTGTATATGGGGTAAGGTAGGGGCCCAATTTTATTCATCTGGGTGTGGATATCCAGTTTTCTGAGCACCATCTGTTGAAGAGGCTTTCCTGTTGAGTAATCTTGGCACTTCTGTTGAAAATCATTTGGCCATATATATATAGCAGTTTATTTCTGGGCTCTCTGTTTTACTGTACCAGCCAGTCTATATGTCTGTCTTTATGCCATTACTACCACCTTCATTCCTGTAGCTTTGTAGTAGGTTTTGAAATCAGGAAGTAGAAAGCTTCCAATTTCTGTTCTTCATTTTCAAGAATGTTTTGACTATTCAGGGTCCCTTGAGATTTCTTATGAATTTTCAGATGGTTCTATCTCTCAAACAGCAACTTTGGAGGAAGCCCTTTGGTTTCCTCTCTCCATGCTTATCACAGCTCATTTGCCCAGTTCTCATGTCCACATAGAATTTTGAAGGCATCCTTGTTAAGACTGGGCACAAAGTTGCATAGGGTCCAGCCTCCCTGTGAAACCATCCAGCCACCCCCTTTTAAGTACTGAATCCTCCTGGGATCCTGCCAGGTTAGGTTTTTGGAAAACAGCCAAGAAGTAAAGCTATGTTCAGTCATCATAAATTTCCCCCAAAAGGGAGGCCTGGATACTTTCTGTTTAGGGGGTGCCATACCATCATCACTTAAGCTGTACCCCAAACATAACCTGTTAGTCTTGCTCACAGAACCCTTCATTAGCATGATATTAGCAGCTCTAAATTCTCAGGCTTTAGGGGAGGAGGAGTCCCTCTCTCATATATAAAGCCACGGGGCTTTCTGGTTGACATTTATATGTCTTGGTTTTGGACTTTCTATGTCATGTTGTAGGTATTTCCTAAAATATCTTGTAGTCTTTGGCTATCTTCTCACATCTAAGAATGATGAGATATCATAGTGTTGACAATCAGCTCTTTGTGAGTATATGGGGCCTGTTGATTCCAGAGCTTGACTGTAATATAACCATTCTATGATATGTGTATTAGTTTGAGAGATCCCCCAAAATCAGTATATGTAAATCTTTATCTGAGTCTTTCATATTCCCCAGGTTAGAATTCTACAACATCCTCCATTTAAGAGAGTGTTAGGGAACGGATCAGGCATATACTTTGTGTGCTACATTTAGAGCATATTGTTGGTAAGCGGCTAGAGATCTCACCATTTAGGATGCAAAATTTTGCTTCATCTCCATATTTTCAGTTTCACACCTCACACTTGCACTCAGCTCTGCCTAGAGTCTCCAAAACTAGACGTAACCCCATGTAATTTTTCTGTAAAGTTGCCATTCTCTGGCTCTGATTTACTCTGCTATCTATGTATGATGATGAGGATCAGAAAATTCAACTCTCCTATATACATAGTGTCAACTAATAACTTTTTATTTTTTAGTCCTTAACTGACTTCAGTCTTCTTATGTACTTGGTTCTCCAGATCTTATACCTAAATGGAATTATGTGGGACAAACAGACTAGTTTCTCAGGAATATCTCCAAAGCAGGAAATTTACTTGAGACATTTCTTGGAACTGCTAATTCAATTGCCTTTCCATCTGCTTACTATTATAAAAAATATGTGTGATCACTTGTGCATTCTTATCTTTATGAGTTCATACCATTCTTACTTTTTTCTGTTATTTAGTAGATATTTCAGAAAGAGGGAAGATAAATATGTACAATCAATCTCCCTACTTTTCAATTTCTATTCTTTTGCAGTGACTGATTTTTCAACCATGTATCTAGCTCACATTTTTAAGAATGTAATCTGTACTTCGTATTTTAAAAATGCAAATTTGTTAGGTTCCTCCTCCATCCAATCTTGAGAGCACTTTTCAGACCTCCTGTCATTGGAGAGCTCCTAGCACCTATTCCAAACCATTCCCCTCATTATGTAGTAGTCATGCACTTTGGCTGGGACTGAAACTACCCAAAGTTTAGGAGATAATCCCAGACAGGATTAAAAACAAAGCAAAGACCGAAAATGGGTCTTCAGATTCTGGAACTAAAATCTCCCCCTATACTTCTATACCTCTTGAAACAATGATTGCCTCCATAAAAGGTATATGGTCTTAGTTGATCTAGTCAGAAAAACTAAGTTTTTGTTCTATGTTGGTAAAGAAAATCTCTCACTCTTTCTTTCTGGGCCAAGAGAGAAAGCAAATGACCATAATTATAGCTGGAATAACTCTCAGGAACCCGAGAGAAGCCAGCTTTAGGGGTAAGCCTGTTTTAAGTGACATTCATGTGTTTGTGTACTCCTTAAATATTTTTTGTAAGTTATGAGAATTTACAATTAAATTATGGATTTACATAATGTGTACCACCCCAGTATCTTACTTCATTTCTTCCTAGTTCACAGTTCATTGCTATCATGGAAGTCTACAGAAATGCCTTCTTGTGCTACAACAACTATCAATGTATGTTCCATCTCACTATTCGTCCAGCCCCACACCCTCTGAGAGGACTCCTGAAATGACTCACAGAAGGCTTTCCTTTCCCATACTACCTAAAGGCCAAGTAGTGATGGAATTTTGTTTAGTTTAACAGTCATTTAGACCCCCCTCGTTTCAGGTTTCCAATCTTCTCACAAAGATTACAAGCCCCTGGCAGCCAGGAATCATCCTGTATCTCAGTCCTCACCACAGCTGAGTACTGTCAGTTTGCGGAGAATGTGGAGGAATAAACGCTTTTTAAAAAAATGTTAACAGCATCAGAAATTATAAAGAGTATAAAGCAATTCTTATGGAAGATCGAATACATTTGTAATCACTTAAACACAATGAATAAAACAACATTAATTTCTGAAGAACATTTGTGTAAATGGAACTCAGGTAATTTCATCAAACTGAGAATCTGTGGAGACGCATGGTGGCGCTGCAGGATAATATCGCGGGGAAAAAATAATCCTAAAACAAAAAAACTGGGTGATACAGTCTTGACACTGTTACCCAGCGCGTTGGGAAGACAGAAGGAAAAAGCCGTTCAGGGGTGAACTAGAAACTATTCAACGGGGATAACATCCTTAGGCCTCCGAGGATTTGGTGAACCGATTGGAGGCAAATTTCAGTTTCCCAGAACTGCCAAGTGAAGCCGAAGCAATTCCGCAGAAAGCTGCTGGGAAAGGAGCTATGGAGAACCGAGGGGCAGGCACCGTGCGGATAAGGCAAGTTCTGCTTCTCTTTGTTTTGCTGGGAATGTCTCAGGCGGGCTCCCAGTCTGGGCGCTTTTCGGTGGCGGAGGAAACACAGAGTGGGAGCTTTGTAGGCAGTTTGGCAGCGGATCTGGGACTGGAAGTGGGTGAGCTGTTCTCAAGGGGGGCTCGTGTGGTCTCTAATGATAACAAACAGCGTTTGCAGCTGGACTTAAATACTGGGAATTTGCTCCTAAGCGAATCACTAGACCGGGAGGAGCTCTGTGGCTCCACGGAGCCCTGTGTGCTGCATTTCCAGATATTAATGAAAAACCCCTTGCAGTTTTTACGGCTTGAGCTCCAGGTCGAGGATATAAATGATCACTCTCCTGTCTTCTCAGAAAAAGAAATCCTCCTAGAAATCCCAGAGAATAGTCCTGTCGGTGCTGTGTTCTTACTACAAAGTGCAAAAGATTTAGATGTAGGAATCAATGCTCTAAAAAGCTACACAATAAGCCCCAACTCTCATTTTCACATTAAAATGAGAGTCAACCCAGACGGTAGGAAATACCCGGAGTTGGTTCTGGACAAGGCTCTGGATTATGAAGAGCAGTCAGAACTCAGTTTCATCCTCACTGCTCTGGATGGCGGGTCTCCACCCAGGTCCGGAACAGCCTCCGTTCAGGTGTTGGTGGTGGACATTAATGACAACTCCCCTGAATTCGAGCAGCCATTTTATGAGGTGAAGATTCCAGAGAACAGTGCACTAGGCACACTGGTTGTCACTGTCTCAGCTTGGGATTTAGACTCAGGAAAAAATGGGGAAATATCATACACTTTCTCCCATGCCTCAGAAGATATTCACAAGATATTTAAAATTAACCAAAAGTCTGGAGAAGTCAGGTTACTGGCATTCTTGGATTATGAAACCGTTGAATCATACTCAATAATCATTCAAGCCACAGATGGAGGAGGCCTTTTCGGAAAATCAACAGTTAGAATTGAGGTGATGGATGTCAATGACAATGCTCCCGAACTCACCGTGTCATCAATTACCAATCCAATCCCAGAAAATTCGCCTCAGACAGTTGTTATGGTTTTCAGTATCCGAGACAGAGACTCTGGGGACAATGGGAAGATAATTTGTTCTCTCCCAGAAGACCTCCCTTTCCTGTTAAAATCTTCAGTTGAGAATTATTACACATTAGAAACGGAGAGCCCCCTGGACAGAGAGAGCCAAGCCGAGTACAACATCACCATCACCGTCACCGACCTGGGGACACCCAGGCTGAAGAGCGAGCACAGCATCTCCGTGCAGGTGGCCGACGTCAACGACAACGCCCCGGCCTTCAGCCAAAGCGCCTACACCCTGTGGGTCCGCGAGAACAACGGCCCCGCCCTGCACATCGGCAGCGTGAGCGCCACCGACCCGGACTCGGGCGCCAACGCGCAGGTCACCTACTCGCTGCTGCCGCCCGGCGACGCGCGCCTGCCGCTGGCCTCGCTGGTGTCCATCAGCGCGGACACCGGGCAGCTGTTCGCGCTGAGGCCCCTGGATTTCGAGGCGCTGCGCGCCTTCGAGTTCGGCGTGGGCGCGGCCGACGGCGGCTCGCCGGCGCTGAGCAGCCGGGCGCTGGTGCGCGTGCAGGTGCTGGACGCCAACGACAACGCGCCCGTCGTGCTGTACCCGCCGCAGAACGGCTCTGCGCCCTGCACCGAGCTGGTGCCGCGCGCGGCCGACGCGGGCTACCTGGTGACCAAGGTGGTGGCGGTGGACGGCGACTCGGGCCAGAACGCCTGGCTGTCGTACCAGCTGCTCAGGGCCACGGAGCCCGGGCTGTTCGGCGTGTGGGCGCCCAGCGGCGAGGTGCGCACGGCCCGGCAGCTGAGCGAGCGCGACGCGCCCAGGCACAGGCTGGCGGTGCTGGTGCGCGACCACGGCGAGCCGCCGCTGTCGGCCACCGTCACGCTGCACGTGCTGCTGGTGGACGGCTTCTCGCAGCCCCACCTGCCGCGGGCCGAGGCGGCGGCCGAGCAGGCGCGGGCCGAGCCGCTCACCGTGTCCTTGGTGGTGGCCCTGGCGGCGGTGTCGTCGCTCTTCCTGCTGTCGGTGCTGGGCGTCGTGGCGGCGCGGCTGTGCGCGAGGGCCCGGGCGGCGTCTGCGGGGGGCTGCTCGGGGTCCGGGGGCGGCCTTGCGGGCCACCTGGTGGACGTGAGCGGCGGCGGGACGCTGTGCCAGGCCTACCGCTATGAGGTGTGCCTGTCGGGAGGCTCGGGGACCGGCGAGTTCAAGTTCCTTAAACCAGTTCTTTCCAACCTCCAGCCCAAGTGCCCAGGGAAAGAAATAGAGGAAAATCCTACCTTCCACAACAGACTTGGGTTCAATAGTCAGTGACTGTAATTAATTTTCGTATTTTACCAGTATTTTTTTGTTTTGTGGTACTTCCAAACCTATGTTATTTCCCCCAATTTGTGTCTATTTCGCATGTGCTACCTACCCACCTTTACTTTAAAGTGAATATTTATCTTTATATCTGGTCATAATGAGATGATAATTTATTCTGTATCTCTGGAGGTCTTAATTTAGGATTTTATTACCTCCTTAAGTAACACCACCAAATCACGTTTTGTCCGTGGCCGTTCCTCCAGTTGAACTTTTTACTCACAATTATGATTATGGGAAAATAAAGCAGATCATTTTCAAATTATCTCAAGTGTTCTCATGTCTCATTTCAATCTTTTTCCAGCTTTGGTTTAGTAATGTTTGCTATTCACAAGTATCGTTTTTCTCTTTAAATTCACTGCAATTTTTAGTTAACATTTAAAAATATTTATTACCGTTAAAAATACACTGGAAAAAACATATCATATGATACAACCATAAGTGTAATAATCTCGTTAGAAAGAGCCAGAAGGCACTTTTCTTGGTGTCTTTCCCTTATTCATCCTGGAGAATAATTGTGAAGGCACATAGATACTGTGGTCATCCACAGAATCTTGAAATAGAAGTTACAATTTTCAGGTGTGTCATTGATGTTGCAAAGCTATAGTGCAATCTAGTTAGATGCAGACAACCGAATAATAATAGTTTGTATAGCATAAAGTGGACTTGTGTCCTGATGTGTACAACTTTTTGTCTCCTGCATTCTCCCAGATTTTAATATATATGTACACTGGGTAGTAATTTTCAAACCTAAAAAAATCAATGTATATATTGTAATATACAAAATATAAATGTTTTGTGACAATTTAGCTTATATTTTTTTGATGCAATTTGAAATTCCTTGTATTATTCCATAATATTTAATTTTCAAATTGTGGTATTGAGCCATTAAATTGATTTGATGACCTACTAAAGTTAGTGGGTATCAAGCCAAAGTCTGAAAAACACTTTTCCTAGAGATATATGTAGATATGTGTAGAGCAATGAGAACTATCAAGTTATAGTCCTTTAAGCTCTAATTTTTTAAAATTTCAAATCATTGTATGAGGAATATTTGTCTCATGCTCACTCTTACCTTCAGTGATCTGACTACATTCCAGAAGAAAACGCCTTCATTCTTGTAAAAAGTGTTTTCCAATGAATTTTATCAAAAAGTTTAAACTCTAATATGTTGTAGAAGAAAAGTGTAGATAAATAAAATGAGTAAAGGGTATGGAAGGAAAGGAAATGTGTGTGTGTGAGAGAGAGAGAGAGAGAGAGAGAGAGAGAGAGAGAGAGAGAGAGAGAGAGAATAAGCATGTGAAGAGGAAATGAAGGCAAGTTAAATAATTGTTTCTATTGCTTCTAATGCCACAAACGAGGGCCAATGCCATAAACGGCTTCTTGAAGATATTTTAAAACTTCATCTTAACATTGTAGAGGGAGGGGCTGGGTATTATTCAGTTAATGTCAGGAAGTAGACTTTCTTGTCCTAACATATTCAAAATCTAATGTTTATACTTCTTGAAAGGTAAGATTTCATTACCAGTTCTTTTGAACTCAGTGGGCTGATTGATTATTCTTTGAATTGGAGAAAAATGGAGGGAACAGAGGTCTTTCCATGCAAGCTAATTCTAAGTTTCTCTTTTGGGAAGTGAAACTAGGAGCAGGTTCTTTCCACCCTAAGTGAAAGCTGCTTTACATAGAGAACAAAAACTCATAAGATATTAACAAATCAAAGTTAAGTATTAAAATTGCCTCATGTCTTTACTGTAGTTAGTGGGGAAAAGATGGAGGTGCAGTAGCTTAAAGAGTTATACAAATACAAAGTTTTATAGCTTTATAACATGCCAGACAAGATGCACAGACACTGAAGGTGAAAAATAAAAATGGCCACTCACACACACTAGAAAAAGTTAAGACAATAAGAAGTGTTAGCACGGAAGTGGAGAAATTGGAACTTTTATGCAATGCTTGAAAGAATGTAAAATGGTGGAGCCTCTTTACAAAACAGTTTGGCAGTCCCTCAAAATATTAAACATATAGTTACCTTATGTCCCAGAAACCCAACTCCCATATACTTTTTCAAAAGAAATAAAAACATATTTCCACACAAAAACATATACATGTATGTTTACAGTGGTATTATTTGTAACCCAAAATGGGAAAAAAAATATCTATCAACTGATGAATGGATAAAATGTGATCTCCCCATATAATGGAACTGTTATTATTCAGGAATGAAGTGAATCAAGTACTGGTACACAGTATGATATGGATGAACCTCAAGAACATTATGCTAAGTAGAAGAAGCCAGTCATTAATTATCACATAGTGTACAGTCCTATTTATATGAAATGTTTAGAACAGGCAAATCTATAGAGACAGAAAGCAGAGTAGTGGTTGCCTACAGCTGGAGGGAGGGCAGGAGATGAAGAGTGGCTGCTTATGGGTACAAGGTTGCCTTTTGGTATGGTAAAAATGTTCTAAAATTAGATAATACAAAATTTTGTCAATATAAAAACCATTAAATTGTACACTTTAAATGGGAAAATGCGATATTATATAAGTGACATCTCAATAACTCTGTTAAAAACTAAGGTGGAAGTGGTGGCAGCCTGTGTCCCAAGGGGGAATAGCAGTTCAAACAGTTCAGACAGAGAATGTAACAGGTGCCACAGCAGAGAGAAGGATCAAGTACTTCTCTTGTTGTTTCGAGTTTTTCCAGGTATCTGACCAGGGGATTTATAGAAAGAACTTGTGTATTTATAGGAAGAACTATGTGTTTCCTAACTAATGAGAGTGGCCAGGTCTGTGGGAGCCCAGGTGCTCAGATACAAGTAACCAACAAGGTCTTTTAAAAGGGATTGCTAAAAACACATTTTGCTCTTAGGCTTCAAGTAGCTCATAGTGAAAATTTTGTAAGTGCATAGAAACTAAATTGCATCAGCCAATTTTATATTAAAGGACTGTAGGTTGTCCAATGGGGAAAAGGTCGCTTAACAAAATGGAAATGTGAGAAATGGCCCAGCCTCCTAGAGCGGACTTTCTTGAAAACACTTAGCAATAAAAGCCAAGTAACAGTTTAGGTTGGAATTCTCCAAGAGTACAGGAAAGAACAGACATAAAGACCGTTTCGCTTATAAACACATTGTTCTCATCCCCTTTCTACCTCAAGTCCTCCTACCCTCCTGCATCCACTGATTAATCTAAGGACATGGGCTCTCAGTCCCTAGGTGGTCACCTCTACTCCAGTTCAGTCACTAGTGCCCTGGCTACATACTGGATTTTTCACTACCCAGAACTGTTCTTTCTATGAAATAATATCAGATATCTCTGAGAACGCAACCTTCTGTGCCTTTAACCTTCTCACACGGCTACTCCAATCACTTGTCTTTGACCTTATCAGGACCTTCCCCATTCCCTAATGCTGCTACCTATCACCCCCTACTGTTTTAATTTCCTTCCTATCACCTGATAGCCTGGCTTACCACTCCTTATTGCTCTCATGTCCACTTGCTCAATTCCCTTTTCAGCCGTCCTTCACTAAAGCCACCTGATGAAACACTACTCCAGATGAATGTAATTGCCTCCCTTCTCCTTATCTTTTGCTGCGATGCTGCACATTGTAAGACAAAACTTGGAAAACCGTCAATATTATTGCCATTAACTTTATTATATCTAAATTTAACTGGGCCTGTGAGACCAAGAAATCCACTCATGCTTTCTCCATCAGCTTTCTTTTCTAGTCTCCACAACTTCACATCTAATTATCTTAGTTCAATCTTCTCACTCTCCTATTTACATACTCTCTTTTAGCAGATGAATTTGCTTAATACCTTAAAGAGAAGATAGAATCCATCAGACAGAAATTTTCTTAATATCTTGTCCCCAAACCTACATCTTTGATATCATCTGTACTTATAATTTCTTCTGCTGAGGTCCCTTCTACCTAAGTCCAAACCCTCCATATATTTCCTTCTAGTGGTTATATTCTTTCTTTGGTATCTTAATTTTCTCCCTCTCAACTGAATTCTACAATCAGCATTTTAATTGAGTTCAGGTTTCTTCAGGCTTTAAAAAATGCTCTTTAGTCTAAATTCTTCTCCAGATACTGACCTACTTACACCAGATTTCTTGAAAGGGTTGTCATTCTTACTTTCTTGTCCCTCTCATTTGTCAACCAAGTGCAATCTAATTTTTAATTGCAACCACTCAATTGAAACCACTATTGTAAAGATGAACAAAGATTTCTGTAGAAGATAGGAAATATCATATTGCTGAAATAAAGCAGTGAAACTACACAGTAGCTCGTAAAAGTATCTCCTTGTGACAGTTCCAATATAAATGATTGGGTAGATTGGGCAGCTTTGCTCCTCATGGTCATTCTGGACCAAATTTTGTTCCAAGTCATTGCTCCTACCTTCCCTATTGAATCGCTCTGCATGACTGTAGCTGGATCACTACCACATCTGGGTTCTAGCTGGCTGGGAGGGGACACATCCAGATGTATTCCATTCCAGATGTAAGAGTGGTAAGCAAGAATTCTATTCACAGTCCACCTGTGAGAACTTAATTCAATTGGCCACACCTAACTACAAGGGAGGCTGGGACAGGCAATCCATCTGCATAGCCATTTGCCCGGGTATTGGTTCTATTACAATGAAGAAAGGGAACAGATTTTGGCAGACATCTATTAGAATCTTCCAGAGTGACTATCTTCTTAGATCCAGTGGACCATTCTAATACTTATCTTTCTCAGTTTTCTAAAGCATTTGCTACTGCTGATTTTCCTCATCTTCTTGAAATGCTATTTGCTTTTTGTTGCATGATTCTGAACTCTGGGCCTTTCTTGTCTTTTAAAAGATACTTCTTTTCCTCTCTCCTCTAGCAAAGGTGTTACTCAGAACTTGGACTGTTCTATTCCTACTTGACACACTTCTGCTTATCTTAGAGCTCTCATGGTTTCAGTCACCACATATATGCTGATAACTCCCTAAGTCCATTTCTACAGCCCAGATACTTTGGTCATATACGTATGTCTTGCCAATGGGTTTCAGCCCCAGGCAAGTTCACTCTTAATTCAGTGAGACTGGAAAATGACAATGGAATGTTCTTGGGGTGAAAGGGTTTATACCTAGGTTTATTCTCATGGTAGCAGGTCAAACAATAGAATCCCGTCCACCTCAGGGCAAGTCTGCATGCAATAAGCCGGTCTCTGTCTCCTGGCCTCTCTGCCCCTGCAGCCATCTCCGTCTTTGTCCTCAGAGCTGCCACCATCCTCTGCTTTCCTACAGCTGTGCAGCCCAGAGCACTGGGCAGACCTCTTAATATAGAGTCAGTAACAATGTATTGCTATTGGCCACATGTGTGCAGTGGGCAAACAGACCAGGGTCAGGGGAGAATCCTGGCCATTGAAACTTTCATTTTCTCTACAGTGTACAATCATACAAATATACACAGGCACTGGCACACACACACATCACATAGCCACTTACCACAATATTGGCATGTCCAACATTGACTTTACCTTTTTCCATTTCAATCTTTTTTACCCCCAGTGTTCCCTGTCACTGGGAATGATACCACTAGTCATCCAGCTGCCCAATGAATCCAGAGGTGTCTTAATCGCCCTTGAGTCTCTCCTCTTTTTCTCCCACATGCAACTCATCACTGGGTCATAACAGTTTTTATCGCCTACATATCTTTCTAATCATCCCTCTTCTCTCCATACACACTAACATTACCCTCATCCAGGTTACTGTCATCTTCTAACTTATCTCTCTGAGTCCAGTCATAGCCCTGAAATTGTTTCTCCATATGTGGGCCAAAATGATCTTTCAAAAATGCAAATGTGATCATGTTAATAAAGAGTTTAAAATTCTAATTTTATCTTAATTGTCCTTAGGATGAATTTTTATTATAACCTATATAATCTTTTATATCCTCACCTTGCTTTTTTTCCAATCTCATTTTAAAATTCTCCCCTTCCATGGCTTACAGTTCAAAGGACACTTACCTTCTCTCTGTTCCTCACAATACCTGTCTGAAACAATTCTCCTTCTCCTGGCTCCTTCAGATTCCAACTTATAGTTTGTTCACTGCCTTATGAAAGCTTTCACAGATGTCCAAAAATCTGGTTTAGATTTTATTTGTTTTGTTTTTAATAGGCACTTAACTAGACTTACTAGCCACTTGGAAAATATTAACTCATTAGATACCTATAATAATAATCCTAGGTGATAAATACATTTATGTCCCTATTTTATAGGTGAGGAAACAGAGACACATAACTTGCCCACGACTGCAGAGATTGAGTGGCATAACCAGGATTCTAATACAGACATTTCAGTGTCTGTGATGCTGTTTTTGTGTCCAGAATCCATGTCCATAGCCACTATGGAATGCTGTCTCCTAGATACAAGGCATGCCTCCTAGGTATTTCTGTCCTATGTGTAGATTGTGACATATTTTAATTACTTATCTGCCAACTTTTCTAGCCTGTGAATTCTACATAGACAAAGATTAAGTCTATGTATGCCATGTCTTTAAACATGTATGTGAAAATATAAATAAGCGAAAAAAGTAATGATGTTGCTAACTATGGTTGGTTGACCTCAACAGGTATTCACAAGAGCAGGGGAGAGAATACATTTGTAATTACTCAAGAAATGGCCTGAATAACATATTATTTCTTTATCACAGGACATTTAAATGGATTCTTGTCAAACATTCAAAACAGCCATAATTAAATGCACTGTATGGATCTTGTTTGGATCCTGATTCAAACAAACTAGTACAATATATTTGAAGGAATCACTGCTTAATTTGTTGATTGTGATAGTGGTATTCCAGTTAGATTTTAAAAGTTCTTCCCTATACTTAGTGAAGTATTTGAAAGTAAAAACATGTGATGTCTGGAATCGGCTTCAGAATATTCCGGATGTATTCATGAATTTCTTGTTCAAAGAGGGACTATCTTAATGAAAATAATTCATGGAGACACATGGTGGCGCTGCAGGATAAGATGAAAACAGTACTGGGGCTGGTTCTGAGGACTCCATTATTCAGGAAACAACATAGGACCCACTGAACAGAGAAGTAAAGGGGCTTCGTCTACAGAGCTGCTGCAGGCTATATGCACTCCAGGGGCTTCCTGTCTTTTTCTAAATCAGAGCTTTAGCTTCTAAAATTAGGTCTTTTTCCGCACATAAGAGGTTGCCTGAAACCATGGAAATCAGAGGAGCGCTCTCTCTGCGGAAAAGGCAAGTTTTGATTTTCTTTGTTTTGTTGGGGTTGTCTCAGGCGAGTCCTGAATCTGGGCGTTATTCTGTGGCAGAGGAAACAGACGTTGGCTCTTCTGTGGCCAATCTGGCAAGGGATCTAGGGCTTGGAGTGGAGGAATTGTCCTCACGGGAGGCCCGGGTAGTGTCTGATGATAATAAAAAGCATTTGCACCTTGATTTTCTGACTGGGAATCTGCTCCTGAATGAGAAACTGGACCGAGAAGAGCTGTGTGGCTCCACCGAGCCCTGTGTGCTCTATTTTCAGGTGTTACTGCAAAACCCTTTACAATTTTTCCGGGCTGAGCTGCACATCAAAGACATAAATGATCACTCCCCCACATTCCTGGACAAGGAAATATCTTTGAAAATATCAGAAGGTACCACTATCGGAACCACATTCCTAATGGAAAGTGCTCAAGATTTAGACATAGGAAGCAACGGTCTCCAAAACTATACAATTAGCCCCAATTCTTATTTCTATATTAAAATTCAAGACGGTATTGATGGAAAGATATACCCAGAACTGGTCTTGAAGAGAGCATTAGATCATGAGATGGAGCCTGAGGTCAGATTAACACTCACAGCACTGGATGGTGGTTCCCCACCCAGGTCTGGAACAACTTTGATTCACATCGAGGTCTTGGATATCAATGACAATGTCCCAGTGTTTTCTCAGAGGCTCTATGAGGTGCAGGTTCTGGAGGACAAACCTGTTGGCTCCTGGATTATTACCATCTCTGCTAAGGATTTGGACGCAGGATATTATGGAAAAATAGCTTACACATTTTTCCATGTGTCTGAAGATATTCGTAAAACATTTGAAATCAACCCAACATCTGGGGAAGTTCGTTTGAGATCAAGCTTGGATTTTGAAGTAATAAAGTCCTACTATATAAATATTCAGGCAACAGACGGTGGTGGACTTTCAGAAAAATGCACTCTTCTGATTAAAGTAATGGATGTAAACGACAATGCACCAGAAGTAACCCTGTCATCAGTTACACACAGAATTCCAGAGAATGTCCCAGAGACCCTTGTTGCTGTTTTCAGTGTTCGAGACCAAGATTCTGGGGACAACGGGAGGGTGGTTTGCTCCATTCAAGATGATCTCCCCTTTCTGCTGAAACCCACGTTCAAGAACTTTTACACCCTAGTGACAGAGAGACCGCTGGACCGGGAGAGCCAAGCCGAGTACAACATCACCATCACCGTCACCGACCTGGGGACACCCAGGCTGAAGAGCGAGCACAGCATCTCCGTGCAGGTGGCCGACGTCAACGACAACGCCCCGGCCTTCAGCCAAAGCGCCTACACCCTGTGGGTCCGCGAGAACAACGGCCCCGCCCTGCACATCGGCAGCGTGAGCGCCACCGACCCGGACTCGGGCGCCAACGCGCAGGTCACCTACTCGCTGCTGCCGCCCGGCGACGCGCGCCTGCCGCTGGCCTCGCTGGTGTCCATCAGCGCGGACACCGGGCAGCTGTTCGCGCTGAGGCCCCTGGATTTCGAGGCGCTGCGCGCCTTCGAGTTCGGCGTGGGCGCGGCCGACGGCGGCTCGCCGGCGCTGAGCAGCCGGGCGCTGGTGCGCGTGCAGGTGCTGGACGCCAACGACAACGCGCCCGTCGTGCTGTACCCGCCGCAGAACGGCTCTGCGCCCTGCACCGAGCTGGTGCCGCGCGCGGCCGACGCGGGCTACCTGGTGACCAAGGTGGTGGCGGTGGACGGCGACTCGGGCCAGAACGCCTGGCTGTCGTACCAGCTGCTCAGGGCCACGGAGCCCGGGCTGTTCGGCGTGTGGGCGCCCAGCGGCGAGGTGCGCACGGCCCGGCAGCTGAGCGAGCGCGACGCGCCCAGGCACAGGCTGGCGGTGCTGGTGCGCGACCACGGCGAGCCGCCGCTGTCGGCCACCGTCACGCTGCACGTGCTGCTGGTGGACGGCTTCTCGCAGCCCCACCTGCCGCGGGCCGAGGCGGCGGCCGAGCAGGCGCGGGCCGAGCCGCTCACCGTGTCCTTGGTGGTGGCCCTGGCGGCGGTGTCGTCGCTGTTCCTGCTGTCGGTGCTGGGCGTCGTGGCGGCGCGGCTGTGCGCGAGGGCCCGGGCGGCGTCTGCGGGGGTCTGCTCGGGGCCCGGGGGAGGCCTTGCGGGCCACCTGGTGGACGTGAGCGGCGGCGGGACGCTGTGCCAGGCCTACCGCTATGAGGTGTGTCTGACGGGAGGTACTGGGACAAATGAATTTAAATTTCTGAAGCCTGTTGTTCCCAGTCTTCCAGTCCATGACACTGGTGGGACTATGGGGGGAAATGAGAACTTTAGAAATAGCTTTGGATTCAACATTCAATAAAATAATTTAAACTTGAATATTTTGTTATTCTTGACACATTGTGGATTCTTTTAGTCAATCTGTAATGGATTTTGGGTTGTAGTGTAATTTCATGCATTATCATTGCTCTCACTCTCACAGTTGCTTTAAAAATATTGGAGGTTTTTTTTTGTGTGGTTATAATGGCATGGAAATATGTGTGTTCTTTTTCTGTTTTTTGATCAGAATGTTGTATTAGCAGAGCTACTGCTTATTTCTTTATGTAACATGGCGTTATACAAGACAAAGTTATTAAATATTTGGAGGTCCCAACTGAACTATTAAGAGCAAACACCACAATATATATATAATTTACTGGTTGACATTTCATCAAAGCATACAGGAAAATTTTAAATGCTTTTGGATCTGGGTTGAAAGTATATTGGATTTCATTGCAATATTCTGTTTGGATATTTTCATCATAAAGGGTAAAAAATGTTTCCTCTCTATCTTCAGTATTAGGGTACTTTATTCATTTACTTTTTTTATATAGTTCTTTTGAATAATTCACTTCCTGACACAAAGTAAAAGTGGCCACATTAGAAAGTATTGTTTTCTTAAGTAATTTTCTTTATTGTTATTGATACTATTGTGGAGGAGGAGACTTACAATGTTCTGGGCCTTGATATTGCTATTTATTTTTTTCGAAATTTACCACGTGTGCTAGTTTGAGTTATATTATTTTGTTGTTTATCGCTTAACTGTAATGTATTTCATGGTATCATCCAGAGTAAAGTAACCCTTCATTAAACAGGTAAAAGTTATAAAATTGAAATGAAAATTCAATCTGTGATAGAAATGAATTAGTTTGTTTTCCTTTTGGTTTTTAAGAGTAAATATAAAAACCCTTAATACTTTGTGGCCTCTCTCAGATATCTACAAAGAAGGAATGGGTCTGTATTTATGATGTATAGATGCCTCATGGTTGTTACAAATTATGTCTCCAGTCTGTAAGTGGACAGTTCAATGGAGGATCATAGGGAGGTAGAGATTTTGATAGCTAAAATGTAGTGTGGATACAGAGCTTGTGTGCATATGTATTTCTGTAAGTTCTTTAATAAATTAAATATTACAGAACAGATGATATAGTAAAATGGAATTTAATTTGATGTTATTAAATGGGTGAAACAAATTACAATTTCCTTAGGAATCTTTTTTTATTGCATGCCATTTTTACTGGTTTTATTTTGTGTTGCAACAGATAGTTACTAATTGTGAGAATTTCAGTTAAATCAACGTTATACAATAAAATCCTGAAAAAGGAGGTTTGGGCCCACCTTATCACTCAGAGTCATAAGAAGTGAATCCTGTGCTTTTTATGTAATAAAAATATGACTAGACAACCGAATATCCTATTTGAATAATTCAGGAACAAACTTGTAGACTATAAGTTTGATAGAACAGAATTGAGGGTCAGATCCTTTTATGTAAGAGAAGTTGGTCATGCTAGAGGAAGTGTCAAAACCACTGGTTGTTAAGTGTGAGGCTGATTACTTAGTAAATGTTATTGGGAAAATTAGCTTACTATATATGGAAAGAAAACCCTTATCCCATGCCATATAAAAATTAACTTCATATGGACCTAAGAG